AATACCTGTATATATAGTCCTCCTTTTAGCATCCTACATAGCTCTTCACTTGTAGATTCTAAGTACACAATCGGAGTCCTGTTTATACCCTTTTGGTCACACACAGTATCGATTTAATAGGTAATATAGTAAATAAGACAACCATTTTCTATATAGACAGCTAGTAGGTGTAAACTTTAAACTTTAAAGGTCACAAAACATACCAGGTAATCAGTGATCACAGTATTTGCATCACGACGATGAATGGACGTTTGATTAGACACTTTCCATTTACTGTCTACGAGTCCAGTAATCTAATGTCCTGTAAGAAGAAATTAATATTTTCAATGGCGATGATTTTATACCTCGCATCTTAAAGGACTACTCGAGTGATTTTCGGTGAGGAGTTTGTTGATAGATACTGGTACCGGTACCAGTACTGGCTTTTTGTTTTTTCTCTAATTTATATATTTACATCTCAGTCAACAGATGGTTAATTTTTATTGTTTGGATCTGAGAGGGTGATTATTTCTCAAGAAAAAGAACAGATTGTATCATCGATAGAACATTGCCCTCGGTAGAGACGAGCCTTCACTGATATTCGAAAGTGTGAAGACCTGGAAATGTAGCCAGGTTATAGATCACTACACCACTAATAACTTAAATACAATGACCACGGTTCTTATTCAAATGGAAGAGTTCGGAGTAGTAGAGCTGCAATCGTGAACCGCCCATTGTTCCTCGGATCCAAACTAATGATGCCACTCAAACAATGTCAATACGATTAATTTCCTTGGTTCCAACCAACCACATACATCAAAAACGAATGATCCCGGGGTCTCCGTGCTATATACAAATGACGCAACATAAATCAAGCGCGCGTCTACACATTAATCATGTGGGCCTCGGGATTTGGGCCTTGGGAGTTGGGCCGGACTTGACCAAGAGATATCGGCCACTTGTGGTGGCCGATGATGGGAAACCGATCTAGCTCTTGAATATGAATCGGTGTTCTGAGTATCTAAGGAATGAGAATGGAATTGGTGTTCTTACCTCCAGTATGGTCGGTCGTTGTGATAATGTCCCGAGGAAATCCTTGGAACATGACATGGCGGCGTAGGAGTGACGAAGAGTACCTAGATTTTGTTGGTGCTGTGTAACCTTTGGGTCGTTTCTTGGGCTCAAGGGATCTTGAAAACTGCTTAATTAGGGCTATTGCATTGCTTCTTATCGTCTCCAGCGAAATCTTAGAACGTCACTTTCTTTTGCATACCAAGATGTCTCTGAACGGTCATAGAAATGATGTTACAGCGAATTACGATTCTGGACACGGAAAATCCAAGAAGAAAGACCGAAACGACTTTGATTTCAACTCCGATACGAGACCTCTGCAACAAGACGAAACACACAATAGACAACCGTCCAAACGAAAATCGCGCAGCCTACTGGCAACGAAAGGGACGGTGCGGAATATACAGGAACAGCCTCTACTGATTCCACGGTCACCTAGTGATTTGAGATCATCGGGAAGACACGAGAAGCCCAAGAAAGCAAGCTTCCAGTTTTATTCCCCCGGCGCAGATTCGGAAACAGATGTCGACAGCGATTATACGGATCGATACATCACTAAAGCTCGCTTCAAAAAGCCTCGATCATCGCCATCAACATACGGGAGTAACGGTAACGAGAGTGAAGCTTCTATGAGAAGTAGTAAGTCTAATAAATCAGAGGACGATTATAGATATCTATGTAATAACGATCGTAGAGGCCGCTTCAAAACGGCCCGATTATCGCCGCCAACGAGTGATTCTAGGAATAGCAGTGCAAGATCAATTTCATCTGTTAAAGAAGCCGTGGAAGTTTCGTTCTCTAGACCCGAATTTAATAAAACGAAGAATGATGTTGGACCAAGAAGAAGAGGCATCTTGACGAATGGTTAGTCAACTCAAATTATACAATGTCATATACAGATCTCTAACAACCATGCAGGTGGCCAAAAACCTCAGGGACAAACGGCATTACCTGAAGATGCTACTGATTGCGAAGACAATCGATCAAAAAGAACTAAGAAAGATCGCCCCTTGAAAGAAATAGACAGAAATCAAAATGTATACAATGCGCTCGTATATCGGGCCGGAGGACAACTCCCCGTTGATCTTGGGCCAAGCAAAAGGCCACCAATACGAAAGCCACTTCCCAATCCATCACAAGAACAGCCTGTCAGACAAGCACCAGAACCTCCAAAACTACCAGACCGTCCCAAGCTTCCAGACCGTCCAAGCGACCGACCCATGGTTTCTAGGAAACATACATCACACACGGGATCGGAGGAATCGGAGAACAAGAAGGGGAGGGAATTAAAGAATGTGAAAATGCCAGAGAAGTTTAGCTTCAGTAAAGTTTTCCGTAGCATAGGGCGTGGACGTCGATCTCACAAGAAGGAATCCAGACTCAGTGAGATCGAATAGAATTTACCCCGAAACTGAGGAGTTATTACCTTTAGAAACTTGATCCGGTCAGGGTATGATTCGATATCCTTCATGTCTAACAGCTGGTATTGTTACTGTAAGCTTAAATGGATCGATAAACATCTCGTTTAATGATCTCAAGCTTGAATGTTGTATTGAAAGTGTTCAGTTGGATGTACTCGAGTGTTTGTATACTGGTTGAGATAGCGGTAGTATTCGATTCTAGTTTTTGCCTCACCGCTTTGGTTTATACGGGCAGGATGGTAGCTTAACAAAGGCGGTGAGATATCAATGGGTCCTAGTTGGGAATAAAAGGAGGATAGAAATAGAAATATAACTTCCGTATCTTAGAATGATTTGAGGATTTAACGCAGTGATAAGATACATCTGTAAGAAATAGATTAAAGAGTGAGTGGCACTACGAGTAGTATACTCGGGTATGTTTACTGATCATCCATTCATCAATTAGAAACAACACAAATCATCTAGATTAGGTTATCCACGCAATCTAAAGCCCAAGTTTAGCGATTGGTTAGCTAAAAGTCCCGATTGAGCTCTGAAACAATCTCTCGACTACCCTGTAACCCTGTAGGCACTATGCTTTTGGCATTTAGCTGTCATCTACTCCGTACAAACAATCGGTCCCGAATATCCATTTTGTTCACCAACATCAAGATTGTTCATGGCTTGGCATACATGGTGTATTTGGGAAACAACGTTAGTTAAGGGGAAACAACTTCTACCAAGCCCCGTTAAGGCTTAAATCTCTCAAGCCTTTCCCAAGCTTTAGTTAAGCTTCACTCAAGATATCATATATGAGAGCCAAGTCGGCTTGTCAAAATAGATCTCTTATACTGCACGCCTAGGTTAAGATCTAGTACTCGAGTAGATTGAGATTAGCGAAGCTTAACGTCTGCTGTAATGCAGGCAGTAGGTATCAATCAAAAAGGTACCGGCGCAGATGATGCCCATCAGCGTTTATTGGGGATCAGGGGTTTTGTCAATATAATGAATGATATCGCACAACTTTTCCACGGGAAACAAACAGAAATCGAAGCCCCACACGAACAGATTATTGGAACCATGAAATTCTTCTTATGCAAGTGCAATCAATTCTCTATATTCTCCGAAAAAGTCCTGTAATTTCACCTTTGTAAGCTCTGGCGGTAGCATATCCGATGACATAGACCCATGTATCAATCAATCTCTACTATTATGCTTATGTACATATATTCTCACCTTCATGCTCAATCGCACCATCGAAGTATCAACACTCTTCACATTCACATTCTTTTCACACCTTCCTTTTTCGTTTTCTTGTTAAGACATTTACATTCGTTGAACTAAACTTGCTGGACAATATGCGTTCTGCGATTCTTCTCGGAGGCTTAGCCTCAATTGCTTTTGCCTGCGATAACCCAGATAATGATGCGTGCGCTAACGCTTTCACCGTTTCTTCTGCCGTGGCTAGACCTTTCTGTGCTACTTATACTCAAAGTGCAAATACGGTCTCCACAGGTCTCCCTGCCTTTGCTACAGCATGTGCAAGCAAGCCAAAGAAATTGTCTAGTGCATGCAGCTGCCTTCAAGTAGCAACCACCTTGGCCACAGTTGCTGTAAGTCTATTCCAACATGATTTGTTCTTATGTCTTCTGGACTAATGTGTATATTAGAAAAGTTCAAGTGTCGTGGCTGTCTCTTCAGTTGCTTCCAGCTCCGCAGCAGCAGCTCCAATCGCCAGCTCAACACATGCTCGAAGCTCCTACGTCAAATCTGTGACCTCTTCGGTCACCGCCCAAGCACACCAGGCCACATCTGGTGTTGTGGCTAGTACTTCAGTCGCATCCTATTCATCTGCCACAGGTGCGGCGAGCGCGGTCATTACACCTGCACCAGCTGCCCCAGCTGGATGTACAGCAACAGCTTACGATGATATTGCGGATATCATTGCTTCATGCACAAACATTGTATTGGACAACATTTCCGCCCCAGCAAGCTCCACCATCGACCTTCAAAAACTTCAAGACGGAACTACGGTCACATTCTCCGGAACTACTAGTTTTGGAACCACGTCCGATTCTGACTTTGATCCAATCGTTGTAAAGGGTACAGATATCACCATTACTGGAGCGGAAGGACACATCATTGACGGAAACGGAGCTGCATACTGGGATGGAGAGGGATCTAACGGAGGAGTCGACAAGCCTGATCATTTCTTTGTTGTAAAGGACGTCGTCAATGGTGTTATTTCCAACCTCAACATCCAAAACTGGCCTACTCACTGTTTCTATATCTCGGGTACCCAAGGTCTCACGGTCTCCGATCTCACCCTCGACAACTCTGCTGGAGATGCTTCTAATTCGCTATCTGGTAGTAAGGCAGCGGCCCACAACAGTGATGGTTTCGATATCTCTGGATCCGACTCAGTAACCCTCCAAAACATCGTCGTCAAGAACCAAGATGATTGCGTAGCTGTCACATCTGGTTCCAACATCCTCGTAACAGGAATGACCTGTTCGGGTGGCCACGGTCTCTCCATTGGATCCATTGGTGGAAAGTCGAACAACACAGTCTCTGGAGTTACATTTTCCGATTCAACCATTACAAACAGTCAAAATGGATGCCGCATCAAGTCCAACGCTGATACGACCGGAACGATCGAGAACATCTCATACTCGAACATCAAGATGTCCAACATCACCGATTATGGTATTGACATCCAACAAGATTACCTGAACGGTGGATCGACCGGCGAACCAACCAACGGAGTGACAATCTCGGGTGTCTCCTTCAGCAGCGTGACGGGTACGACCAGTGGTAAGAATGCGTACGATTATTATATTCTATGTGGAAGTGATTCGTGCTCCGATTTCACATTCACCGATGTTAGCATTTCGGGAGGCGGCGAGACTTCAAGCTGTAACTATCCTTCTGCTGGGTGCCCATCATAAGATGTGTATTGATTTGGAGGAATGATGATGAGTGTTCGCTGTAGGATGCCGGGGGTGTTCTTGGAAATATGGCTGTTGATAGGCTGTGAACATGCTTTTTGTATATATATTTAGTTCTTGTATAACGTACGAGGTCAATCGAACTTATGAACATCTCGAACAAGTAATTGCATTTGAGAATGAGTGAAAATATCGTATAGCTCGAAAATGTGTAGTGTGTTTCAATATTATCGAAGAGGAGGTTACATAATACGAGTAGATCAACTCCAATAAACTCCCAATGCATGTGTATATTCAGCAAATATGCCATGCCCTTCCACCCTCGGCCTTGTAAATGAAAGGCGGAATCCTTTTACGATTTGGTATCTGGGATCTGGCAAGAAATCTCTCCAAGGATCTTAGATTTCTTCTGGGATGGGAAATCGAAGTTATGGTTGAAGAAAACCAGTCGTTGAATTGTTTGATAATACCGTAGTGAATGGGCCATTGTAAGACTAGCCTTCAATATACACCAAAAGTAACAATTTTGTATCAAATAATATCAAGAATTAGTCTAAAATTCTACATCCCTAGACAAAGTCTAAAAACCTATCTCGGAGGATACCTTTCTCTAATGAGAAGAGGCAATATCTAGAGTCCATGTATCTGATAAGATAACCCCTGTAACAGTGGGACTGTAGGCCCAAAGCTTCGAATTAGCTAAGTGAATACCGCATCACCAAAGCACTATCCACCAGCGAAATTCCTCGAAATAACCCACAAAAAATGGATCTATATCACTGGAATCCTTAAGAACAAAAAATCAGTTTAAATCCAACCAAAAACACCAAAATAGCACAAAATAGCACAAAATTCCTCCATACCCCCTCCAAAAAATATCACTATAAATCCAATTCTAATCCAAAATGCTTGAAAATAACTGCAAAAGATATGGTTTTGACCTACGCAGGGATCGAACCTGCAATCTCTTGATTCGTAGTCAAGCGCCTTGCCATTGGGCCAGCAGGCCATACTGTTTGATGCATGAAGCTCTGAGTTTTAAAGATATAAACAAAGAATTTCCTGCATTGCATGCGGATATAGTGGGGTAAGTTGACTCGGACAAGCAATCTGATAGGCAAAGAATGAAAATATGTGCGATTAGTTGTGATTAGTTGTGATTAGATGTGGGGTGGTTAAATGCTGGGAGGTAAATTTTCACAGTCCGTTTTTACCCGAGTTACCCCTTCATTTCCACCCATATGGTTTTGGAGGGCTAATGAGTAATTTTTTCTTACGATGTTGCAGAGTTGATGATATGGAATGATTGTACTGATAGTTCATGATTGATGATAGCGATAGGTCGTACAATAATCTTCATTCATGGGGCACAAGAATTCTGTTGTTCCATTCCAAGTTGAACCACGTGACTCGGGCATTCCCGTGGAGATTGGAAATGGAGATGAGAATGGTGTTGTTCCAAAACAATTGACAATACAGCAAAACCTCTCTATAAGGATACTGGATATAAGGATAACCTCCATATAAGGATAATATTTTGGGTCCCTTTAATATTTTGGTGATAAAAGAGGTGATATAAGGATAACCTTCAATATAACGATATCTTTAATATTTTGGGTCCCGAAATCCTTGCATATCCTTATTTTGGGTGGATTTAGGCCGGAAAGGGTAGGAATCTCATCGGATACTATCAGATCTTGACTCGAAAGGGTAATACACGTGATTGAAATCCAATCTTGACCCAAAAGGGTATTGATATATCGGAGCACGTGGCTCCACGTGACGACGCGTGACTACCTTGAAACCTCGATATAAGGATACCTCCAAATATCCTTATTTTTGGCGCTAAAAAAAGTATCCTTATAGAGAGGTTTTGCTGTAGTTATTGATCTACAGTCACAATACTATTATCACGAACCTGTGACCGTTCAAACAACGTATTGGTGATAACCTTTATAATGAGCGGAAGCATACGTCACATTATTTAATACAGAAATATGCACAATTGGGAGCATTGCAGATCACAGGACTAATTTCTTTTTCGAATTTGATGCCTCGAAGTATAGATAAATGAGTGTGGTTCTTTAAATCTAGGCAAACAGGAATCAACCTCAAATTCTCAATTCAAGCTATCATGAGATGCTCATGCAGCAACTTTAATGTCAAGTCTCTTGAAGCCCCCCTTATCGGCGACCTCTTGTTGCAACACGGCCATTCTCTTCTGATCACCGGTTGGATCAGCTGAATCACCTTCAAGTGTCCAGTCAAGGAATTCGTTGGTGTAGTTGGGACTAAAGTCTTCACTTAAAACACCAAGACGTTTGCCATACTTGGTGACTTTCTCCCAATCACGCTGGACATTCTTCAAATCCTTCGAAAAGTATGCGTAAGATCGCTCAAAGATCTTACGGTTGACAGGAGATGCCATCTCAGGCTTGATGTCAATGTACGTCTTGTAAGCTTCGGCTGGAGAAGTAAGGACGTAATCAGTTGCACGCTTGGCGGCTTTCATGAATTTGCGAGTCTTCTCTGTATTTTGTGCCATGAAGGTGTCGTTTGCTAGAATTAATTAGCATGAGTTGTCAAATGTTCGGAGCAAGCAACTAACCAATGTACAAGATGGAACAGAAGCAACAGCATCCGAGTTCGGCCAACTCATCAATACGGAGCATTTGAACATCAGATCGAGGGCGTCCTTGACCTGCGAGCCATTCTTCCAATTCAACCATTTGTACGTTCTCCAATCCGATACCGGCATGAATGCTTCCTTCGATGATAGCCTTTGAGACATTCATACCACAACGGATGGCTTCATAATCGGTTGGTTCCATTCCATAGTATTTGGTCAACTCATCGATTTGGATCTGTGATCAACGATTGTTAGACCACATCAATTACCGGAATAGTCAATTCGTACCTTTCCAAACTCCCCAACATATCCGATCTTCTTTCCCTTCAAGCTACGAAAGTCGGTGGTAATTCCACTGTCCTTGAGGTAAACCACACCGGTGAATGGTTCATCAAGTAAGGAGCCAACTGAGGTCACAGGAAAGTCCCGAGCTTTTGCGGCAAGAGTATGGATCATAGCTTTGAACCCCATATCAACCTTTCCGGAGCCAATAATTTCGGTAACATCTGTTTTCCCTGGTTAGCTTCTACTCAACTGTGACTTTCTAGTATTGAGTCGCTTACCACTTGGATCATTAGGCTCGAGAAGAGCTACTTTGATGCCTTCATCGGCAAAATATCCAAGCTTCTGAGCAAGGTAGACAGGTGCATGATATGGCGTTGCGTGCCTATTGAAAAACAATTGTTAGATCATCACTTTGCTTCGAATGAACCTTCCGTTCACTTGAAGCTACGATACAATTTGTGTAGCCTACCAGTTCATCAAGAATGTAATCTTATCGGTCGACATTCTGTTGATCAGGTAGCTAACAAAAGGTTAGAATACTCGCAGGGGGTGGGAAGGGGAAGCATGTCCTTTCGCTAGAATTATCTAGATCAAGTTCATATGTACGGTATATTCTCAGATCCAAATTCTATCCGCCCTCGACTTGAAGTCTAAAACGGATAAAATTTGGAACACCCGCCATGCCTTGTTACACGTTACCTTGATCTGAGGATGATTCATAGCATGAGAGAGCCAGGCTTCGGTTCTTATCGAACATACTGAATCGATTTTGTGAAGGTCGGATAATTGAGCGACGAAGATATTTTGAGTAGGCGTCGAAATATTTGATTGTTGAGTAAGAGTGTTAAGAAGAGAAAGGAAGAAGAGCTGAAGGAAAGATAGAGGGGTTACACATTATGTATAGCTTGCGGTTTGCTTTAGCTTTAGTGAGGGGTAGATCAATAAACCCACCCCCGCTATGCTGCAGAAACCAAGATGATCTTTTGATCCCAACGAAATCATTTGCTACCAATTAAAATCCTGAATTATATTGCTTGTATGTAATTATATGCATCTGGTAGGTAGATCATTATTACTATACATAGCAGTTATCGGCAAGCGGCCGGTCAGAAACCCCTCCGAATATCCCGTCTCAAATTGAAAAGAAACATATCATGGCCTTCTGGAGTCTCAATGCTGAGTGTTCACAATAATGCTCAAAATTGTTAGGATTTATAAACAGAAGCAGAAGTGATAGATTCCGGGCTGTGGCCGTCCAATCGAAACCTTTCTACTGATATAATATGGCTTTAGATGTATACATCTGTTTTCATGTATAATCAATCAATTACTTGCATTTATACGGCTACATAAGGTACTCACGCGATGTTGAGTGTCACTTGCAAGCTCATGATTACTCGAGTCACACGATACACCGCAACCATTCAAGATGAAAACATGCTAGGGACTTATTCATTTACTTACAAGAATATTTTTGATGGTGTAATGGTTCTCAAATACGTACCATTTTGATACAATCAAATCTGATATAAAAGATAAAAAAATACAGCTTTTACTAATACTCAAATATCCAAACGCCTAAACGGTGGCAAACACCCAAATCATGCATCATGTACATGCACATCTTTCCATGGCCAACAGTATCTTAATTCTTAGATCTTTCCAACACCAGCGTTCTTAATAACAATGGTTTTCACATTGGTAAAAGAGACAACAGAGGCAAGAGCCATTCCTTTCGCAGCAGTTAAGACGTCTTTGTTTGAACCGGAAAAATCTCCTGATTTAACAAGGCTATTAGCCAAACAGTTGCGACCAATAGTCGATGCACAACTTATGACACCAGAGCTCAAGACCAGAGGGGACTCGAAGTGACCCCAAAGTCGAAGATGAGTGGTTGGACTGCATTCTCGAAAAGGTTGCCCTCCGCAAGCACCTTGGCTCCCTTGCCGATTTGGAAAGCATTGCCAGCGATGTCGGACCAATAATTGTTTGCAGCGTGGAAGAAGACATTGGGCTCAACTGATCCGCTCAGGCCTCCAACCTTTGGTCCACGACCGCTTGTGTTGTGAATATAGTTTCCCTTGAAGGTGACTTTGTCTTGGGATCCTGTAAAGTATAGAGTCCAGTAGTGGTGGATTGTTACATTTAGCAGACCACTGAGTAGTGCCGTCGAACTCCGAGTGGAGACTGTAACACGGTTTGAGGCACCTGGACCCATGGTGATGTGTTGACGGCCAATTTGGGAGACCTTGATATGATCGATCCACAAAAGATCAGTCCCGTCAACGGAAATAGCGTCGGTTCATATCTATAAATTCGACGTTCTGAATAATGATATTTTTGCACCTTGAATATAGAAGCCTCTACCCTTAATCTTGCCAGCAGATCCAACTCCGATGATTGATTTGTTAGAACCGAGCTTGATAGCGCTAGGGGGGATTCCAGCTACATCATAAGTGATAGTTGGCTTGGCGAGAGCTTGGTTGGCATTTGATGAGGACTCGCACCAGCCATAGATATCAAAGGAATCCTGTCCGGTGCATTTGGTGCAGGTGTTAGAGAGGGGCGTGCAGCCTTTCTCGGGTTTTTCGCCCATGGGTTCCAGTGAAGTCCCAAGTTTTTGTCAAGGACGATGGTACGTGCAACCCCATCGGAAAGCCAGGTAACTAGCTGATTGATATTTGCTCGACTTGCTCCAAGAGCCGAGCCGCCTCCAGTCGCTGAAGCAGCGAAACCTTCAGCTTTGCCAACCACTGTAACGGCATCAACTGCCATGGCAGAGAACAAGAGAATAGCGAGCGTCTTGATGGAAATCATAGTGATTGCTAGAAAATGAACTTTTTGGTTAGTATTGATACTTGGTGTTTGTAATATAGAACCAATGAGTTAGAACGAGTGTGTTTGCTTGAGTATAAGCTGTGTCTGTGTGAAGATAATTATCTGATGAGTTGAGGATGTTTGAAATATTGAGAGGTTGAACGTCCTTATATATCAATTGACTCTGCCTTGTAAATAGCCTCCTTGGCTCAAGATCATATTAAACTCGGAATTTGATTCTCCTATCGAGTCCAAAAAACTCAATCCTGTAAAACAATATCGCGACGCGAGATAGAAGGCTTTTCCAAGGTCGATCTTTTGACAAATGGTCACTTTGCCCACCGTAGGTAATCTACTTGACTTGTCAAAACTTTCGATTGTCCAGCAGGATTCCCAGGAATACTTGGAAATGTCACTCGTCTCATTGCTTTCAGGCGCCATTAAATAGTCCTAGTCTCATGAAAGGAACCAAACTGATAAGGGCTGCTCCATATCTCTCCATATATGGTCTGTTTGTAGAACTGTAAGAGAGCATGATGGAAATCGTATATTCATTCAACTTCACATGATTAGCCGTCATAAAACAAACGACCAAGTAAGATCCTCGAATATATTTGGCATTGTAAGTTGGTCTCATTACCTTCAGCCTCCAGTCCGTTAATCACTTAACTCAGCACAAATCGCCAGGCTTAATCAAATGTTACTCATGGCCTCTTAGAAACTGGTCGTTCTAGTCGATCTAACATTCATTCATTTTGACTTTGTCTTTTATATCGATTTGCCAGTGATGAAGCAAGCTGTGAAAACCCATACTAAACTTAACTTTAATTATTGTATAATGTACCGAAATCAGCATCCTGGGTAATATTTAATATAAATTATAGTATACCAAGCCAATGAGGGGAATCCCTATTGGTATATTTAACCGACAGCCAATCAATATCAACCTCCTGTAACATTATATACAATAGAAAATCCGCAACTTAATCTACAAATTTCTCGAAATAAACACTCAGTAGATTAGATTTCATCAATGTTCAATGACATCAGACATTGAGTTGGAGCTAAGATCCTGTCCCAAGGTATTGCAATGACCCAAAGCTGGACCAATTTGACTATTATCATCAGATCATCTTAATACTGGATTCTAGTTGTTGGCCGCGAGGGTGAAAAATAACCTTATTAGCAAGATCTTGGCGCTGATCTTGAAGGATATGCGAAGCATTTTTCTGGCGAGGATTAGATCTCTCTACATATATATTGCTACGATAACATGCCATGAAGTAGTTTTCATATGCGTGTGAGCATAGCAAGTTGTTCCGGCAAAGTTCTGTCGTTTTCTTCAGTACTCTCAAATTGCTTCTTAAGAAAAATTGCAGTAGTCTTATCAAGGTCAGTCACCCGGTTTGATACTTGCAACACGTCTCATTCACTTAGACTTTCCTCTGAAAATCACCAGCTTTCGGTCTCTCATCCGATGTCTACATCCTAATCCAGGGTTTCGCGTGAATGTCAAAGTTTCAACGCCTGCTGGGTGCAACAAATTCGAGGCTCCCCCATCTCACTTCGGGAGCCATACTTGGACTTGATCTTCAATCAGTGCTAACCTTGCTGAATCAAATTTCGATCCTTGGCATGTAGAAAATTCTTGTTTAGCTATAGAAGACGCTCCAGGATTTGTTAGACTGTTCAGCTCTCCATTTTAAACCTCTCCAACTCCTTATTTTGCTTCCACAGAAAATCCACTCTCTGCTGCAAACCTGTGTAATGTGGCTTTATACTAATCAAAGGAATAGAAGATGATCCGTCTTCTCTATCGTAAATAAAGGTATTCGAGTGCTTGATCTTACCACCGCTTTTGTACACAGAGGCCTTGGACTTTCCTGGCATAATGAAGTGCTAAATGGATGCCTCAAAATGTTCCCAGATGAAGATGATGCTTGTGCCAAGGATAGCTTTTGATGAAGGAGAGTATATTTATATAGTATTTAATTGTATATCAATAGCAGACGAATGGGAATATATAGGATATGCGGCAAAGTTTCTGTGGTAGATTGATAATGTTTAATCGCGATCATGTACTGTGCGTATGGGAGGTAGAAAGTAGTGCCAGAAAAGACACGACTCGATTATATCTTCTGGCAATTAGAATGAGGTCAGCTATCTATAAAGTAGAGTTCGGTAATGCTCTTATAAGGATACCCATACGTCTTGAGATCTAGCACAGCCATGAGTTGAACAGCTAAGGCATTCTACCTGGCGATAACTGTTCGAGTAGCACAGCTCACCGTTGGCGCTGCTTCATGTGGCGGAAATATAGTTATTGTACTCAAACATCTCGATCACGACGCAAATCCAGAAGAGTATATTTCGTGCCCTCTTCGACATACTATACAAATTGAACATACAACCATGGAAGAGTTACAGCCAGAGCTCAGCCAGAGTAGTTGCGTAAGAGATCCGTCATATTTGATGAGAAATGCGTTAGATGACGGTTTGGAGTCTATGGATCGACTTCCCTTCTTGGGCAAAGTTGCCAATATTGCCATCTTAATGTACTCCTGTATGACTAGATAACACTTGGCTATAAACATTGATTAACTTTCTGTATCAATATATCTTTGACCACTCTAGGGCTTATTAGTGTAATGATATACTTTACTCTTCCCAAGTTCCTACCACCATCATTTCTTCGAATACTGGTTTCCCATACGACATCTCATGTTAAAAGAATATCAGGGATTTCCAGAACCATAAATTTCCCGCATAGCTTTCGACTCATCGGCCAATTAATCATGAAAAGATTCCCATGCTCCTTCCATCCTCTACATTTGAAGAACATGAACAAATGAATCGACCAGACCATGATTCATAAACACATGCTATTTCCAAGCATCAACCCAACCCAAATCGTATTGTATTATATTATAAATCTCGCACCACACTCCCAAACCTCTCAAAAATACCCCAAGAAAACCTCTCCAAAATTCAGTTCAGTACCGACTAATTTCAGCCCAGAAAGAAGTACAACACAATCCAATATACGCATAATACGCTCGCTTATCATCTCTCTGCTACCCCGTCCCCCTATTTTCCCAATGAATAGATACATTCAAAAATCCGCGGACCTGGAATGATATGCCATGTGCCATACAAATCCCCACAATATGCTAGTCCTCCATAAAAATGTTACCAACTTCAGCTTGTGACTTTTGAGATGTGATCATTCGTTGACAAAGCAAACTGATCCGTAAAATTGTTGAAAATGAATTATCAATATTCAAATTTTTCTTATTCATCAGTCGAGATGATGAATGCCAATAAACATTGGAGAACTCAATCACTCGAAACACACTATTCTCTCAACTCAAACTTTTATTAGTCATCTCAGTATAAAATATCTTTATTTGTTGAAAAATGTAACTTTTTGCAGACTCAGCGATTAGAACAGTGTGATCAGATGATAGAAATACCCAAGTAGTGCAAATATATCGCATTCATGCAAGCGATTCGAGCTCTCCTTTTGATTTCACATAGGTATAACAACTTCACTTGCCACATTATCACTACCAACAGGCATCAGTCTAGATGGTTTCTGTTGCGCGAGGTTGCTCAGATCTGTTGTTGCACCAGCCGGAAATTCTGTCTTACGCCGTACGATTTGTCTGAACCAACGAGTGCCGGTAAGAATAAAAAAAACACTGCCTTGTTAGACATGCATGGCACAAGAAAACGATAGGCACACTTGTCCATTCTGTGAACCGAAATGAGACACAAAAAGGCCACTCGGAATAAACACTCATTTGTATTATTATTCTCGCGAGATAATAAAATCGATTGACCCTGAACGAACCCAGAAATCCCCCTCTCTATAGGAATTGTCCATGGTATATACAATAAAAAACTCGCAGAACCACCTCTTGATACCCATCGCTCGTATCCAAAAATCGGGCATGAGACGGTAATCGAAGTCGAGTTCAGAAACCGGAACCGGTAACGCCAGGAATGTAACGATGTGGTCAAACTATTGAATGATCCACCAGTCGGAGAATAACGAATGCGGCTGTAGCAATAACGGCTATGGTACGACGACCTAACAGGGGTTGAATATGTGAAGTTGTGTAATAATACTCGTCGTATTCATTCGGTAACTGCCGGCGGAACATCTCCATCTTTTGTAACAATGACATAGTCAGCACTGGTTCTTTCCCCATCATCGAGTTCGTATTCACCTTCGCTAGCACCTGGGGTAGGTGGTAGAGCTCCTGGAATAGATGATGCAAGAGCTGTCGTGTATGATTGGTCTTGCTTTGGGGCTGCTGGCCTGGATGCGAGATCCTCTCCGCTCACTTCAGCACCCCGCGATGCGACATCATTCCCAAATTTTGGTTCTAATGGGCTTATAGGATTTGTTGTAGATCGTTGTTGTTGAAAGGTTGATTTCCCTGGCGGGGAGCTTCCCGGGCTTACTGCTGCTTGCTTGGCTTTTAATCTTTCCTCGGTCGCTTTGAGTCTCGCCTCGAGCTCTTCGAGTTCAGAGGTTTTTGTAGATATTTCGTTCTTCCTAATAGACAAAATGCAATCTTAGTATCACTGAAAATGACAAATTTGAACGGGAAATGAGAAACTTAAGGGCTTACTTCTCTGTGACTATAGCATCGAGATCCTCGCTACTGTCAAGCTTGAACAAGTCATCCAATGCAAGAGCGAACGATCGCGCCATTTGGCTAAATGTCCATCAGTCTTATAACACAGTTTCCAAAACCATCAAACTTACGATTGTGGCCTGCCAGTTGGCACAAATTGACTATCGAGTTCGGTGTCGGACATGATTGAATATAGGGCTGTAGCTTAAGATTTACCCGGTAATGAGATCTTCAGGTACGAGATTGGCTAGTTATGGAATTGTTCTGAGGAGAAAAGATGGGAAAGTCCTGTTATTTAAAAATGTGATGATTTCGAAGAAAGTTAAAAAGCTCGAGGTTAGAAGAAGATTCCGTCTTCTTGTATTTGTTAATGGATCGTAATAAGTTTGATGCGGATCCTCTGTTTTCAGAGATTGGAGATTGAAATAATAGGGGCTTCTAGACTAGTGTCATGTGAAATTAATGGGGAAGCTTTTGTTCGTTCGTTCCTTCCATCAGCTGGGGGGAATACAAATGACGAAGTCTTGGGTTTGTGATCAAAGTTCAAAAACAATCTTAAGAAGGTTTGGTTCATGATATCTTAAAAATATGAAAACGTCCAAATACATACTGAATAGTTGAAGTTGTCTCGAATGAGGTTGTGAGGGGATTGGGGATTCCAGCAAGTCAAGTGGAAATCTGAGGAATGCATGCATAACCCCTCCGTAGAGTCTGTTGGTCTGTTGACTTCTGTTCAAGCCAAAAGGCATGGATTAATGAAAATAGAACGGATCAGACCAGTTTTATGCTGGCAAATTGATATATTGAAAAGTCACAGAAGCTAAAAGCTATTGAGGTATTCAATACGAAGATCACCAAGAAGCAATACCCATGAAGCAGGTTTGTAAAGCATAATATCCAGGTGCAACGCATAAGGAATGTCTTCAGAAGAAGATTCTGATTCTGATTCTGAATAGACTGATGAATAGGGTATAACAGGGGATACGGAGTAGATTGGAAGTACTCGAGTATGTTTGAATGAAATGACAGGATACTTCTCTCAATGCCATAGAGAATAGATCTTGCTCTCAAAGCTCTTGTCAAGGATATTATATGATTATATGACCCCTTCAACGCTACTCAGTAATAAGAAGTGATTCTCTTCTCAAGTACTCCAAGACTCATATAATAGGTACTTCATTCGTATCGCATTCATCGTCATAAGTACCGTCCGGTACCGGTACAAGTAGACAACTCTGACCGTCGAATTTGAGTTGTCTGGATAAGCTGAGCGATCTACAACAACACTGTTTTAGGGTATGTATGGTCAATCCTTGGAAATGCCCAACTCAACATCCTCGAGGGGCTCGATAAGTCGATACAGTGTGGCTGGCGTAGTTGGGGTGGCTGGGACAAGACAACAATCAAGTCACTAAAACTTGATATGCCTTGTCTGTTCGTCTGTTCGTGTCGGCATCCCTCGCCGATGTTCTCCAAACCCCAAACCCCAAAGAATTGAGAAATCTTTAAATCTTCTAAATCTTCAATACCTGCCCTTGCCGACCGAGAGCTTTGGATTCCCGAAGTCTTTTGGTTGTTTTATTTTTTGATAGAGACACGTGACCATTTAATAATTTCTGGCTAGAAGCTATTGTGTGAACAGAACATGCAAATGTGAATAATATCATTTCCTACATTTAATCCCCATCAATCAATTTATTCTCCATCTCTCACGACTCAAAATTTTATCAGTCGCAATCAATCGTAACCTTCAATAATAAGTCAATATTCCGGTAGGTTTTCGCATTGATATTATCGCTTTAACTGCCTCATTAATTGATTGAAAAGGTTGTCTTGATATCTGGAATTTTTATCGATTTTGTCGCAACCTTGATCCACCCTTCCTCTCCTTCGTCGTGGCTCCTCTTCACCCTCCCCAAAGTCGTGGAAATCCCCTCGAAAGCTGGCGAGGAGGATACCGTGGCATGAATACTACTACAGCTTATACGCCTCTCGAATGTTTATTGCTATTCCAGTCTCTAGTCGCATATGGCACCGATCCAAACTCATTTATTCAAATTTCCCAATTCTTGACAAATAATTTCCTGGTTAAGGACGGAGAAACATACGATGCTGGGAGGTTGAGCGCAGACTTATTAGAGGATCTATATTTACGACTTCTGCGAGAGGAATTAAAAAATGATGCGGAGCAAGATGTGCAAGAAGAGAATGGGCCATCACCATCGAAAAAACGAAAACTCTCAAGCCCACTTTTACCAACAATTAAGGATGCCCAACCTTATCGAGAGAAATTGCCAGTTTTAGTGGAAAGGTTATATGCGCGGTATAGGGATTATATGGTACGAGCAATTCGGGAAGATGAGGAAAACTACCGGACTGTTCAACGAGATATTGCCGCGATTGAGAGAGGAGATTGGGATGAGAGAATATTGAGAGAAGAGGGGGTTGTGGCAGAACAAAATGGGCATAGACAAGCTGAAGATTCCGGCACAAAGCCAAGTGGATTCACTAGCAATGTTCCTGTCGTGGTGGAGGGTAAACCGCAGGAATCCAAACCTCTGGAAACCGGATCACAGGATCAACGGCCGACAGAATCCAAGCGTCTAGAGCCCCAGCTTCCACAGATCAAGTCATTTGAGATAGCTATTCCTCAATCAGTACCTCAAGTTTTAAGAGAGCAAACAAGAACAATAGCATCTCCATCTCCAGGCCCTTCCCCAAGAACCGAAGGTCGACCAGAAGGTTTGTCTATCAGTGATGTTCTGAACACTCATAACTCTACTCCTATTCCTCCCCCGAAGCAAGTCTCGGAACAACAGCCTCGGAACGGCGCGCAACATGGGGCACCACCAATGGCCCAGCAAAGATCTGGCAGTCACGGTCCTCATGGACCGTCTCCTTTACAAACTCAAACTCATTCACCCCAGCCCGGTCCCCCTCCTTTGCAATGGGAGCCACCATTTCATCCTGGGCCCAATCCTCCACAGTTCCACAACTCCCAGCCTGGATCGCCACATCCATCTCCGCACTCCCAATTTTACCCCCCACAATTTCCTCCGCACCCATATCCTCCTCATTCATTTCCTCCCCCTAACCACCGAAATTCCCTACCGAGTCCACATCTACCTCCGCCCCATCATTCTGTACCATCATCTCCACTGAACCCCCAATATCAACAAGGTGTTCTCTTACCACCCCCTCATATGATGGGCAGATCGTCAAGTACTTCTGGCACGCAATTAGATGCGTTAGCAGATATTGCTGGGCAGCAATACCGTGCACCTTCCGGGTCTCCTATGATTCAGCAAGGGCCTCTCCCCCCAGTCTCAATGCCCCAAGGATCTATGTCACAAACTCCATATACACATTCATTCCCACCTCCACAAAGATCCCTGTCTTCGACTGGCAACCCTCCTCCACAATGGAACCCCCCCTTCCAACCGCCATACCCAGTACCAAACTACCAACTTAATGGACCTCAAACCAATAGACCGCCATTCCCCCGACCAGACCTTGTTGTTACAGAAAACAGACAATATAATTCACCCTATAACGCAAACCAAGGTCCACGGCCTTCTCTACCTATGAATACCCCAGTGCAGCTACCAAGGCCACAATTATCGCAACCTCACACTCCTTTATTTCAAGCACCTCACTCATTCATGACTGGAAGTGGCACAAAGTGGAGTCCAAGACCATCCGGGGCTACTCCACGACTACATAAAGAGCCTCCCCGTCCTCAGGCTGAACCTCTTAGTCCTGTATTGAAACCTAAAGTGTTACCACAATCTGTGGAAAAGTCATCACAGAAGAAAGGGCATTCAAAACCGGATCCAGTAAAGCCAGGAAAGGCAAGCATACCAATCACATTAAACAAGCGAGCCGGAAGTGTAACCTCCACTCATACCACTGGGCCCATTAGAAGAAGCCAATCGGTACAATCACATGCCGATGAACTCTCTTTGGATACTGAAAATTCTGTTCTTCACTTCAAACAAGAAGTTGCAACGCCCCGTGGCATAAGTGATGTAGGCGACATTGCAGCTGATGAAAGTACAAGTCGGCAATCTAAAGTACCGCCATCACCTCGTCAAGCAATGAAGCGGAAGCGTCTTGATAGTCCTGAACTTAGGGAACCTCGAGGGCCACCTCTTTTCGTTTTATGGACTCGCGCTTTTCCGAAAATTAGTGCCTCTGCTTTGGAATCGATTAGTGGACATCGAAACGCGAGCACATTTGCGAATCCAGTCAAGGAACGCGATGCTCCTGGCTACAAAGATTTGATTCTTCGTCCACAAGATCTCAAATCTATTCGCACGGCTATCACAGCTGGACATAAAGCTGCGGCGGCTGTGGCAGCTGCTCAGGTTACTCCTGACGATCAAGGTCAATCAAGTGCATGGCTTCCTATCTCTGAAGATCTCATCCCCCCAAAAGGCATCATAAATTACGCTCAATTTGAGAAAGAATTGATGCGAATGTTTGCCAATGCTATAATGTTCAATCCAGATCCAGATCGTGGATTTGGTCGAACATTTGAAAACAAAAGGAAAGAGTCTGAGAAGGGAGGCGTGTATGAAATTGATGAGAATTCATTAGTTAAAGATACGCGAGCCATGTTCATGGATGTTGAGAAGGATATTGGAGCACTAAGAAGCGCCGAAAGGAGAAGCGAAGAAGCTGCCGAAAGAGAAGCTCTCGGTGGACCTTGGGGTATTAGACATCCAATTGGCCATGCAGAAGCTGATGATGACGAAGTCGATGAATTGGCTGGCGATATAGATGGTGCGGTGGGAAATGCAGGTGGCTTGGCGAAAAGGAGAAAAAAGGCCTAAGTCAGTGGCGGCTAAGTCTGGAAGGGAATGTACTCGTAATTCCAAGAGGGATATGTAGATATATTATTGTGCTATGAGATATACGTTATTAATGAATATGAGATGATTCCTCCCTCATCAATACTAGCCGGGCTTTTGAAAGCTACGTTTTCATGATTTATGGAGTGAGGTTTGGAGTATTACGAGTATTGGGTCTCGTACTTATTCTTCCTGGTACTGAGCTCAGTATATGCCTCAACTTCATCTCATCCGAATCCCAATCGCCTGGATACATTTCAAATTGTTTGGCGTTATGATAATGATAGGGAATGTGGAGAGATATAGATATATATGCGTTTTGGAAGATACTAGTTGGATGTACTGTACCGTATCGGTATACCGGTACTATGTAAGAGTCTGAGACTGGAGTGGGGGGTAGGGGGGAAGGAGGAAGGGGGAGAGAAAGCTGGTTTTATTTTCTACGCCTCCTCCCGATCATAAACTACTAATTGCTCTTAAGTAGAGGCATAGATACGCAGTGAAGAGATAAATCCAGGAGCGAAAAGGTATGCTGAATGAATGGATGAATGAATCGATTGATTGATTGATCAGTACTCGTAGTTAATGATTAATGAGTGGTGGTGATACATTACCAAAGTTTACTTCAAGAGACTCGGACTCTTCTGGAAGAAAAATTGCAGTTGAGTACTCGTAGTACTCGAATATGAATAAAAGGAGATTAGATATACTCGAGTAGTAGTACTCGGACTTGGATTCGAAATATAGGTCTATAGACTGTAGGGAATATATTCGGATTCCTTGTAGAATTATATAGTGGATCTTTTCTTTCTCTGATGCGTTACTGTCTATCATCTCTGAAATTGAAATAATTCATATTTAAAATTTTGAGAGTTTGAAAGTTTGTATAATAAAATATCTGAGTATCTAAAGCTCTAAGGTAGTACTCGAGTAGAGTGCTATGAATTAGTAGTTCCTTTTCGCTGGAGAAATCGGAGAGTATTAGTGTATACTATACTTTTGTAAATTGATTTACTTGTAAGAGAAATAGCTCTGTATATTAATGAAAAGACGTACTTGGTATCTTTGATGCTTTTTGATGTTTCTTCATATTACTTGATGTCTTACTCATATTGAAATCTTTTTGATCGCTTATCAAGAACTTAGAAGAGTTCTTATATAGATAGCATTGTATAAGTAGTTCATTTATACTCGAGTATTTTTAATCCATCTTTATATATTCTCTTCTCGGCTACCGGCTACCGGTATCTATATTTCGTTACTAACTTTAATAAATTAGATCTTTATTTTTTTAAGACTTTTTTTGGTAATAATAATAATATAATTACTTTACGGTAATTATATATCAATTTCAAATGTGATGCCTCAACTAGCATAGAAATAATAAGGTTACTTATATAATATGAACATAGTACAATCTTCAAGAATATATCTGTCTTATATAAAACCCCCTCCCTCTCTTATCCCCATCCCTCTCCCCTCTGACTTATCCATGATTCATGAAGGAGTATATCGATACAAACAAAATTCACATTGAACATTCCTTCTGCCATTTCTTTAATTTTGATCTGCCACCCGAAAAGAAAAACCAATACTAAAACCACCAAAATATGAACAGCTTGTGCGACTAATTCTCTAGATCCATCTTTGAACTAATATACAGGAAGCTTTGTGTATACCAAAAGCCAAATTGTAGCTAAAATACTGACTGAGATTGAAAGCACGCTCATAACACCAGATTTATATTCATCAGAATTTTCCTCTTATGCATCCTCGCCATCTGTCCAACAGTGGGGTAGTCTGAGGGTACGGGGCTGGTGGAGAATGCAGTTTTATTCTTTTTAATGATATATATAGGTGTATAGTAGGCATATATTCATTTGAGGGATCGTGTACTCGTAGTTAGAAAATTTCTAGCTATATTTAAACTTATTCGTCTGACTACAGAAGCTTAAGCGAGGTATTAGAAATACTTTTTGGATTTTCTGATATTTCATTTCGAGTATATGGAGATGGATTCATTCATAATTCATAATTCATAATTCATACATTCATAAGTGATACATTTATAAGTGATACATTCATAATTCATATATTCATAACACATCGCATCATCTTTACAGATGAACGATTAAGTACCCATTTTCCCCTAATCCATGCCGTTCCTTTTTCCTTACAACCCCATCAATCCTCAATCCCTTGCATCCCAAACCAGCTCCACATCTCCCTTTTTCTCCCCCCTGAAAACCGCACTTCCGTCATTACAGCCCGCCACCGCGCTCCTCAAATCAGAGCCCATACCCATGGGTCCACTCGCTATAACCCTCGTCCTATAAGCATCGCCCGCTCTTTCCTGCATGAAGCTCTTCACCATCTCCTTGATATCCGGATGACAGCATTTACAACCACCCAGAAATGATATTTTGAAACCTGCAGAGTTTTCTCCCGAGCCTAAACTTGATACTGAATCTGCCATAGCTTTGTCGTCCGTTTCCATTACTGTTTTCTCGTCGTTTATAATCGCGTCATCGGATTCTTCTTCTGATGGGGCTTTTTCTTGCGTGACATAGATGTGAACATGGACATTTAATCCAGTATCATATGTTCGACGTTTGATCTCCTCCAATTCCTCCGTAATCCACTCCAAACACGAACTCCGTCTCACGATCCAAACGAAGTCGATAGCTCGCCCTTCGTATAATGTTGCGTGACTAGACGTAGCAGCTAAAACGAGTGGTAATGTTAAAGAAATGCCTGTTCCACCAGCTATAGCTAGAATGTTGGTTGGTTCTTCTTTTGGGTTTAGAAGAGCTTCTCCGTACGGGCCGCTAAGGATAACCGGTGTTGTGAGTTGACCATCCAAGGCTAATTTCTTGAGGTTTCCCGTTTCGCCTGAGCGACAGCGGATGATGTATGTGTGGTGGTTTGAGGGTAGAGATGCTATGGTTAATGGATGAGATTGCCAGATACTGAGGGCGGGAAAGCAGAGGAAGAAATGTTGGCCAATTGCCCATGGAGCGTGTTTATGGTCGAACTCTAATCGAATGACACCGCCGTCTTTATCGTCGAAGTATTGAAGTGTTGATTGTGCTGGATGGAAACCAATGCCTAATTTCGTTAACAGTTGGTCTTAAGCATCGGACAATGAACTTAAGGCTTACCTGTATTGCCACTAGCATCAAAATATCCAATGTGTATCAGCAAAGTCCTGACGATCCTCACACCTCGGTCGACAAAGAACAATCCGAGAGAGGCAATCATCCAGCATTTCAATTGTTGCCAATGTCCCCAACATGCGCCAATATACAAACAAGCCACCACATAATGAGTTTTCCTGAAGAACTCATATCCTGTCCATTGAATGACTCTTCGGATACTAAAGATATACAGAAAGGAAATAAAAAGAAATGCAATACAACCCCATACGATATATGGTTCTTTTATGAAAGTCTGGTACGTGGTGGGTTGTGGTTGGTACAATCGTCCTTCGATAAGCGTCCAGCTAAACGTATGCAACGCGGATTGAATAAAGATGATACGACCGAGCCAGCGGTGTAGGAAGTTGAACGATTGATATGGGATTCCGGTAGCAAGACTAAGGGCCGATTCACGAGTACTGAGTAGTATTGTGAAAGGTGTTAATGCGTATGCGAGTGCTCCTACACGGTCGGCGAAAGGACCAAGCCAGGATCGGGTATTGTGTAAAGTCGTATTTTTGACTGGAGTCATCCATATTTTGTAGACGTTTCCAACAAGACTATTTTTTGTTAGGAAATTGCCTCTCATTAAAAACATGGTACTCACGTGAATATGAGTAAATAACCCAATAAAATCGCTAATATTAATACTTGCAACCTGGTAACATGTCCGAAAAATTTGACAAATGTCTCAGGAAGGAGGTATCTTCGGAGAGTAGCTATTGTTCCTCGCCATGCACGATAGTACCAGGATGATATGCCTGCGCTACTTTGGATTTCGGAGTCTCTAATTTGGGTGGTAGTTTGCCCCGAAGGCTTTATGAAACGAAGAGTGATGAGTATAACAAGAAGACCCCCGATGACTGCCCATAGGATGAAGGTGTAGAGCATCGATAGATCGTGCGAATGCTATGATTAGTCAGTATTAAAAATAAGAGTTGTACGCAACACCGGGGAAGATCGTGGAAGCGAATTTATGACATTAGGGGCAATTCATTGAAACCCGAAAGGGAAGATATTGGGGATGATAACTTACATAGTCAACATCTAGATATTCACACGAGCCAGCATCACTGGTACATGGAAGTATTCGATCAACATATCCCCAATGTGGCTCTAACGTTGATGCATTATCCGCCTCTTGAATATGGCGAGCTTCAATATTCTCCATGATGCCTATGAGAGATCGGATGACAAACGGATCAATAGCTTCAGTAACAATCAAAATGCCAGAAAGGAAATGTTTAGAATCAAAGAAAAAGAAATCCTTCAATTATCAACCTATTGCCAAGATCTCAACCAATTACAATGAGCAAGTTTGAGGTCACCACTACCAAACTAAACTGACTCAGATCATAATTGCAGGATGTGAGTCCAGATGAAACTTTCATCGGAAACGACCCCCACAATATCCATCATGACTTGAAGTCCAATGAAAATATGAAGAAAAAAGGTTGAAGAGCATGCCAAGAGATGTAAACCCACTAATCCCAGTAGTATACGTGACAAACTCGCGCAAATGTGCGCAAATCTACCACAGTTGAAGATAAACAGCTTGCCTCATTATGAGACAAGCGGCCCTTATAGCTCAATGAGATATAGTTTGTGCTGTCATATGTTTGACAAGCTGCAGAGAACTATAAGAATATGGTTCGAGCCCCGACTTTTAAAGTTCTGGAACGATGACAGTCTAATAGACATGGGCCTCACTAAGGATCTTCCACGCGCTTGTGTTATCATTTGCTCATCGCGTTCGGTCGCCGCGCGGACTGTACTGTGGCTTGAAAATCCTAGAGCCGTAAACCTAGCTTCACTGTAGGAAAACCAAACATCTTACTCTTACGCTCTTGCCTTTGACGCTGGCGTTGAACGTGTTAACTCCAGAGAGGCTGGAACAAAAAATTGGTGAAACGGCGAAGAAGAAAAGTTTTATGTTACAGGCTTTAATCGGTAAGGTTTAGCGTGTCTCGGATGCCGTCCACTATAATCCAGGTACCTGAGCGCTAGTATTCAACCTAATTTACCCCACCATCCACATCCCACGAGGCTTCTAGTCGAGTACTCGAGTACATGTCAACCAACATCTAGAACGACATCTCACATGAATCTACTTCAGGATATGATTCATAGACTCAATGACCTCATCTCACTGATCTCTCTGACTATACAACATGGTCAAGGATATCCAAATGAAGAACACCGCGCAAATAAGGTTGCTCATACGGCCAGCGTTTGTTCCTCATCGCCACACGAACTGACTTAAACAACATCCAACAATATGAACAACAACACCATGGCCTCGACCCGGATTAAGCCACTTCAGCCTCATATCCATGATGTTGGTGATATACATCTTAACAGTAGTTTCTCGTAAAGCTATGTGATTCTGCAACCGAAGTCTAGTGATATCTTTCTTAGACGTTAGCGAAAGTTTATTACGATAACAACGAATATTCTGACGGTATACGTCGTCATTAACATGGGTTGTGGGTCCAGTAAAATGGATGAGGAGATTGAGGGGAAGAATATTCGTTCTATGACTTCTCGAGATTCTGGTGGGTTTCCAAACTACCCGCTTCTCTAATGCATACTGATCGACTTTTAGATGAATCCAATGATCAAAACAATTACAACTGCGGTCGATCTGATGAACGCAACAGTCTTCACCGGGAAAAAGAAACTTGCCACAACCGAAATAGAGATCTTGAATCGAATGAATGGAAACCTTTCGCAGCAGATGAGAAACCCCAAATGGGAGTAATGACAGACGAAGACTATTCACGATATCGAGATACCGAGGAGCTAAGAATGGAACACAATTTGGCACGGGATATAAGTGAGTTAGAGGGTGACAATGAATACATGGAAAGGGAAATGAGAGATATTGAGAACGAACATGGGTATGAGGAAAGATATAGGGAGAGAGACAGAAACAGAGATAGAGATTATGAAACTAGTCCAGATAGTAGGAGATATCGAAGGGATGATGATAGGTAAGATTTACAAAGATTCTGGCAATGAGTTCTCTTCAAACGCTAATTGGTGCTAGATCATACTACAGTAGTGATATCAGTCCCATGAGTTCCATGCTTTCTGTGCTGCATGAATCACCAGAGGAAGGCTAAGTTCACGATTTCTTTTGGGGGGATACAACTATCAAGTGCATAGTTTTGAAAGGGGTAGTTTTATTTGTTTAGCACATTACATGATCACGATGAAACTGTCTTTGGCCATTGCTCCGCTTTTCAGACAGGTGTTGGCTCGTACCACCGATTAAGAAGCGTGAGCAAGTCTTGGTGGTTTTGGGCGTCCTTTCAATTTGGTTACTATTTCAAATATCTTCAATTTATAAGTTATCACACAAATCTGTGTACTCCTTGTATTGCAGTGACAGCAGTATATCCATTATCTATGATCTATACCCCATAACTTCCCAATGAACCAGACACTACAATATTCTCTTACCCATCAATACAATCTTACAACTTGCTTAGAAACAATTCATCGTCACACCCTCAACCACCAATCCCCACGCACATCTTCAATATCCCCATTATACTACAGCCCCTAATCGACTCACTCAATACTCCGAAGTACCCACTACTTATCTATTTCCGCTATATAGCAAGCTCCTACACCACGAATGTACATTCCTGCGCATCCCAGCTATCCAGGTCCTAGGATTCATCCCACGGCCACCCCATTACTTTTCAATCGCCCTACCCTCTTCTTCATCTGATCTAGATCTCTAAAGCAAGGCTTTAATTATATCTGATCGAAGAGTCATTTCACGAAGATAGCGAGGCATGTGGCTCACAATGAGTTTTTTTATAGATTTGGTGGCTCATTATTTGCAATGAGATCGATCATCAATTTTGGGACCGTGTTTCATTTTCTGTAGTAGCACTATGGGTGTAATATGAATGAGTGTTCAATAATTACATGATGCAGATGAACATGATACGCAGTGAACAGCAATCACTCAACCAAATCTTGGACATAAGGAGCAATGAAAGTAGAAAAATAAGCGAATGACATTCATAGATAGAACCGTTCGATTCAAGGCCACGTACACTCTGAAGAAGTCATCAGAGTTGTCGATAGACAATCATTATCTAAGTCCAGTCATATAAGTCCAGTCATAACGAAAATGTTCACCAGCAGCTTTTCGCATCATACCCAATGAATAGCCAGCCTATTTCTCTAACGAAAGAAGCGACTAACATCATAGTCACATGTGGATGACAACATGCAACATGCTCCTCCATCTTGGATATGAGTATTCAAAGTCCTACCCACATTTGAAGTCACTGAAAGCTATCCAGTGCCAAAAAGTTACGAAGAGAATCATGTCTTGTAAACCTCGAGAGTCTTCAAAGACCATGCAGTGTTCCAATAAGAAAACAATTCATCTTGAACTATATATGAGTAGATTTGAGTCCGAGGATTTGTTGAATGTATGACAAGTGTACTCGTATGGGCGGTAAGTTTGACATTCATATCATCCAGAACTGTGTACTGCTTCTTAAACGTATACGAGTAATGTTTGTTATACACTTGGAGTCTGGCTACTTGCTACCTGCTACCTGCTACCTGCTGCCTGCTACCTGCTTCCTACTTATAGCCCTGCATGTTATGTTGTTTGTGAAAGTCAAACATGAAAACTTCTTTATTGAACCCGATATAAGTTATCCTTCAAAGTATCTTCAACATCCAATTTAAACATCAACAGTATCATCAAATGTCAGATTTTTTAATTTCTTAATAACATTGAGGTCTGAAGACAGTGAATAATACGTCCTTCTCAATATGGTGGGTGGGTGGTCCTTCTTCTTTCGGAAAGGAGCCATAGCCAGAGCCATTGACTTGCATTGCATCTCGCAAATATAATTCTCCGATCACCACCACCCGCCCACCCTAACAGAATATAATATCTTAGGATACAAAGCAGACAAAACACACCAAATATTACAGACAATCATTTATTTTTCATTGATTCTACATTTAGAAATATTTCTGAAATGGATTGGGATGATCTTTTTGGATACAAAAACAAATCGTCGCATAGATCATCATCTTCGTTGATCACCGAAAATCGCGAGAACGAAGCAAAACCCTCAGAAGGACGAGAGATGAGAGGAAACATGAAAAATGAAGACCATGACAATGTTGAGAACGCTGGCGAGGCCATTGAAAGGCCAAAACCAAGAGTCCGACTGCCAATAGTGACAAAAGGAATTATCAATCCTGTGGCTATTGCGCAGCTACAAGATGAATTGGAGGATACCAAGAAGGAATTGGATAGGTTGCGAGCAACACGGGTACCTTCGAAGGATGAAATAATTCTGCCGAAAAAAATGACTCTACCGAAATTGATGGAGATGTGCCCAGCAGTGGGAGATCAAATTCTTGCCAAGATGGATCAAAAGTTGAGCGATGCCCGTAAAGAATACGAGGACAAGGTCAAGCAATTGACAGACCAGCATCGCGACAACTTTTCACGAGGATCGGCGGATTCGCGAGAGATGGCATCAAAAATATACAACGCCGAGAGAAAGTTAAGGGAACTGGGGGAGATTGCAAAGACACGTCCAAATGCGCCGGTCGGTGAAGTCTGGACAAGGATTCAAGATGGAACTTACGATCGGTCGAAAGGACAAGTCGACGAGCCAAAAGACTTTTATAAATCAGAGCCGAGTCCTGAATGGCACAACTCAAGACTCACGACCCCCGATCTCATGTCCTCTGGTAACCCTTTCCGATATAACAGATGGGCAAACAGCGATGATCGAAAAAGGGAACATGACGATCCTGCGCAACCCGAATTCGGTAAAGATGTCAAGAGATTGAGGACTGCATAAACAAATTACAATAAGGAAGATTGTGTTGGACGAGGAGATGACGACTTATGATATTTGGAGGAGCACCCATATCAAGAAGGTCAATGCAGTGGAATTATACCATTTTGCATCGACAAATTTCGGAAGAGAGGATCTATTCACCAAATCAACAAACTTCTTTTCAATTTCAAGACGACATATGACTCGACACCATCTACAACATCGCAAATTTGCACGGACTATACAGCTTATGATAAACCGATGGAGGTTCATATTTCTGGGAAGTGAAGGATTTCATGAGAGTGTAAAGCTTCGAGGATAAGGACTTTTTTAGCAAGCTCGATGACACACATGTGAGAGAGCTGCTTGGCTAATATCAGAGGGATATCTTCTTGTTTGGTATCTCAACTTCCGTCAAATTCAACAATAACAACGTAATCAACCCCCAATGATGTCCTTGCGAGTCCAATAGGATAGGGATGATACTACCACCTAGTGAAGTAACTAACCTATGTGATTATATTTCCTGTGTACTCTGCATAGTCGTCTAGCTTTTCACCAGTGACCCCTAATATATGTCGACCTATGAACTACGCTCACAACCTCGAGTAATGGGCGATGAGTCAAAAAGCAGTAAGGAAGAGGAAATAAATATCCACAACAGACCTGACATACGTAAATTGCCGAGTGAGAATTATATACCGCAGTCGTTCTCATGATCACTCATCCCTTCCGTAAGAATCAGTATCCAATGTTTGATGGAAGAGCTCGCAGTAAGGCCATAAATGAAGGGCTTAAATGGGGTGCACAGCAGCGATGTGTAATACCAATCTAAATGTGTTATACACAAGTCTTCATTATCCTCATTCTCGTATTTAAATTGATGTGGCTCCATTGTCATGATTATGGCTAGATGTTGATTATGATTGTGCTGTTGTGGCTCTCGAATTGGCCTATGGTGGTTGTTGGTATCATACTGTGATTGAGGGTACTTGGTGGCATCATGGGATGAGGGAGGTTTGGTGTGATTGTTGGGATGATGGTGGATGAAGTGCTGTACTTGAGGTGAGTTGAGGTGCAAACCTCGAGGTGGAGGGGTTTTGATATATATAGCTTGCCGCTTTACGCTTTCCAGAAGTAGTAAAAGCGGCGGTAATCTAACTCCATGTGAAATAAACAAACAAACGGACCTGTTCATTCACATATACCAAGTCTACCTACGGAACAGTAAAACTTTGCGAGTGCACATGTTTTTTGACACAGACTTTGATGAACTCATGCCATCTATTGTTCTCAAAATGAGAGCAATGTCCGCTTTGCTGGAGCTTAACCGGAGAGCGCTGGGAGTCTTCCGGCATATCCTTCGTTCTTTCCTAGCTGGATACATACCTAGTAGCTCGTGGGTTTTCAAAGACTCTTGAAGCATTGATGAGTTCCTTCCTGACGAAGTCATGGGAAACAACTGGGCAGTTTTGCCTCTTGTGGCGTATCTCTTCCTCATCTCAATATATCTAGTCACCAAGTTCATCCCATCCACCTGAAATGTTACCGCATTACCTACAATTACTCCTATTCTTTCTTCAAATATAGTATTTTTACTCTCTTATTGCACAAAACTCATACTCAAATTTTGGATATTAAAAATTGATTACACCTTGCCCTACCAATACTGCTTTACCCACCTTCGTCTTACCAATCTGGCCGTACTTTTACATATTTCCTATATCGAGTGCTCATGCACTACCTCCTCGAGTGTTTTTTATACGCCGGAGTTATCTTGGGATTGGAACCGGATTCGATACTTTCTCTTGAACAGGTCGTGGAGCCTATACCGTGTACCTGTTTCTCTTCAAGATTAAATTGTCCCTCAAAAGCTCCGAAATTCACGCCTTCCTGCCCCAGCCCATCCATCGTTCATATTCGACTTTGGACTTGGTACTGATTGTCATTCAATATCCACCAGCACTCTACAGGAGAGTTCATCGTCTCAGAGGACCTCTCGGGTTTGGCAATGAAAGGATTTCGTTCGATAGAGAGCGATCCATAATACAAATGACGGCAATATCGTCATACCTTGACATTCGGCCTCTTAAACACTTCGCACAGAACAAGTGCTTTTGTAGCACTAACTATTCTCTCATAGCTTTTCCCACACTAAATCATTTATGGTCGACGCCAATCACACGAGCAATGCCACGGCTCCCGTCAATAGTACCATTCAGGCCTGGCATAAGTTGCAAGGGCATGTGATCGACAAGAGATATGACGCGGGCTATGTCGTTTTATCATACTTGGTCAGCCTGGTGGGCGCCTGGACAGCATTTGAACTGCTCAATCTAAGAACGACAAGAAAGGGTAGTTATAACTGGTTTGTGTCAATTCCACACCTTTGGGTACCTAAATTAACCTGTCACTAGGGCTTTCCTCGTATTTGCTTCAATATCGATGGGTGGTGTTGCTATCTGGTGTATGCATTTTGTCGGCGACGAGGGAATTATTCTTGGTGGCGGCGATCCTTCCTTGCAAATATCATATAACCAGATTTCCACGTCCGAATCCTTTTTCCTACCCGTTATAGTATTTTTCATCGCATTCTGGACTGTTGGCTCTAATGAAACGATAGATTTACCCCGTGTTGGTCTAGGTGGGACTTTGGCTGGTCTTGGAATATGTGGTATGCATTACCTTGGACAAGCTAGTATTTCGAACTACACATGCTTCTACAATATTGTTTGGGTCGTAATTTCTGCGGTCATAGCTATCGCAGGTAGTATAGGGTCGATCTACCTGTTTTTCCTTTGGCGTTCGTCTTGGGCATCGTGTTGGTCGAAGAAAGGCATCTGCGCGTGTATACTTGCATCTGCAATATCCGGATTGCATTGGCTATCATCTGTCGGTACACACTACCGTCTCAGCGGCCGTCCAATACCCCCGGCCTCGAATCCGACTCGACATTTTGCCATTATTGTGGCTACAGTTTTGGTATGTCAATCAATGATAAAGTCTGGAAAGCTTGCTAATTCATCTAGACCGTAGTTGCTGCCATCATTAATATAACAGTGAAACTTATGCTCTTTACACGAAGACAGGAATCTATCAACCATTCTCAGAAGCTCACTTTGTTGGCAGCTATATTTGATAAGCATGGAAATGTTTTGATTGGTCCACAAGGTATTCTACCGAATCGCAAGATAACTAGTTCCTTCATCGAGGGGGTAATGAAACTCTTTCTCTGTCCTATGATACCAGAAGCTAACTTATCCTAGTCTTTGAATGAAGTCTTTAACATCTCGCATCCAATCTTTCTGTGGATATTTAGAGCAGCGAAAAACTGGCATTGTGTCAAAGATATCGTCCCAGCCATGCGTCTCAACATCAATGCTCATATTGAGAAGCATCACCTTCGTGGCAAGGAAGAAGTCAGCCTTGTAGATAGTGAGGGTGATTTGATCAAGGATTATTCTATCGTGTTTCGAGAATTGTTCTGCATCGCCGCCGCTGATCTTGCGAATGATCTTAGTATCCCCATGGAAATGCTAGGTCCTTTGTATGACGATGTCATTGGTACCGGGCAAAAGATTCCTTTATCGGCAATTATCAAATCTCGAGTCGGAATAGTAAGCGACTTGATTGAGAAATTTTTCGGTGACATAAAGCAAAAGATCAAAGGTGGCCGTCGCGCTATTAGAAGACCTAGAAAAGATCTCGAGAAGGATGCAGGAGCAGGAACTGGCCAGCTACTCTTTCTGGTCAAGAAAGTACATCGCCGTGAGGCAGAGGCTCTACTAGCAGCTGGGTATCGATTTGGGAAGATCGAACAGGTTTTACCAACACTATCGCACACCATGAAAATCAAGGATGAAGACCTTACCAAACACCTCTCGGACTTGTGGCAGTTTTCAAACCAGGACGATATGTTGGACCCAGGTTGTCATCTTGCCTGCTTTGCAATTCGAGCTTCTGTTAGAGGAGGATTCGATATTGTTGTCAGAAAAGACGCCAAAAGTCAACTTCCGACGATGACTTTGCCCTTTCAAACACTGGAAGATTGGCAGCTGGGCTTTTTGACCGCAATGAATACCCTCAATGTAACAGAATGTCAAAGGTTTCTGAGCAAGGCTGTCAAGGCAAAAGAGTTACCTACAAGGGAGAAAACATTTTCTAACCAATTACTTACTACACTTCAGTCATTGAAATACGAGATCGGCGACCCTATTTTTAGCGAAGCATGCCTCATATCGAAACCAATCGAGTCTCCATGTCGAGGAGCATCCACAAACCATAGGCCCGGCATAGCATTTGTTATCGCCTTTCGACTCATGGTACCTATACATACTCGACGTGCTCCTGGAAAGAAATGCGCTTTTGCGCCACTCACTCTCTTCAAATTGCAGCAACGTGTGTATAGGAATGCATTGGATCATTCTTTCTTCGTACGTGCTATATACCGAGAGTTTTCACCAATATTCGCAGCGACCGCTCGAGATCGTCCACAAGAAAAGAAAATTCTGTCAAGTTGGAGGCCCAACAAGAACGGCCCAATGGACGTAGAGGTTGTGGAAGTACACGATCCATTCGGAAACGCCATGACTCGAATCGTCCCCAAGAGGAAGTTGCAACACCGACCCACCATGGCTCGTCTAAGAAGCCTTTGGGATGCACGTCTTGGTCGCTCGGGCGAGGAAGATAATGATGCTGGTGAAATGCCAAAGCCAATAAGAGCCGCTTCTTACCAATCGATGGGGATTTTGGTCAGCACGGAAGTTGCGAGAGATGTGAAGTATAGTTCAGATAAGAAGGTTGATGGGAAAGGGAAGGGGCTCGATGCTAGAGGGACTACTAGGGGGGTTACGGCGGTGGTGGGTGAGGATGTGGAACCGCTTACTTTTGTGGATGAATTGTTTCAGATTTGTGTTAAGAATACGGGGATGCCTCATTGATTGTTGGGGGTGGAGGTGGAGGTTAAGAGGGGTGGTCAAGGGGAAAGGGGGGAAGGAGGAGAGGGGGGAAGGAGGAGAGGGGGGAAGGAGGAGAGGGGGGAAGGAGGAGAGGGGTGGTATATTGTATTTGATGTCGTGTATGGTGGATGATGGGTGAGACTGTATTAGTTTAGATTATACTCGATTTCGCTTTTAGGCGTAATATAAGATGAGAATTGGCATTTAGCAATTAACGATGAGTATTATAGAGGAGATGCCACGGATCCGTCGGTAGTTTGGTAGCTTTTATAAATAACAACCTATACTTTTTGGAACCTGGGACTAGGATGCTGAGGTGTGTAGCGTCCAGTGTCTAGTGTATTTCACTCTGTTATAAGGATTTCAAGTGGACTTCTCAGGCGCAAAGTTCGAAAGGTCCATGAAATATGTTATATGTATGTATTCGGGGAGCAAATAAAGAAATGGGATCTTGTGATGTGAATGGGATATGTGAATGGGCTGAGTTTTAGATGTGCGAACTTCGTGAGAGGAGGGGGGGAGGATTGAAAGTTGGAAGTTGGAGGTTGAGGGGGGGGATTGTCTTATTTTTGTTTGTTTATATAAGATAGAGGATAGAGAATAGAGGAAAGGAAAGAAAGAGAAAGTAAACTTGAATATAGAAATAAAATAATCATTAGTATATAATTTAATTAGTTATTTAGATTAACTAACTAATTAACTAATAAGAGTTGATTACTAGTTGCAAATATACTCGAGTTTAAAGATACTCTTTCTAGGATTTCATAACTAAGCAATTTTAAGAATAGAATCTTTTAAATATAAAGTGCTAGTGATTTTTATTGATTTTCAGTTGCTTTCATTTTATTTTATTTTTTATTTTTCTTTATTTATCTTTACTCTATTGTCGGACTTTTGTTTCTAATTATTTACTTTCACTTCTTTTTATATCTTCTTGTTTATCTTTATTTCTCTCTAATTATTTGATTAATCGATTAATTGTTCAATAACTATATTAATATTGACTTGACTTCAATTGATAATATAATTTGATTTGATTATTAATTCATAGCTCCAAGAGAAAGAAGAGACTCGGAGAGTATAGATGGAAAAGAAGAAGAGATATCGAGTAGTTTGCTATATATAGAGCTTGTATTAGAAGGTTTAAGAGATTTAATAGGTAGTTATAAGGCAGTGTATTCAATAGTCCGGACCGTAGAATATACTAGGTTTTAATATAAAGCTAGTCTAGCTCGCAGTCCAATGAAAAGGCAGATTAATTGTCTATTGACATTTACTAGCTAGACTAGTTCTAGTTATATAAATAATATACGAGTATCCTTATTATATAATCAAACTATATAAAACACTATTATAATTATATGAAAATTGTATTAGATAATTAAGATTTTGATTATATATAAACATCATGATTAACTGATCTAACTAGTCCAACTTGAAAAGTCCAGAATCCAGACTGGTGTCTGGATTTTAATGTTTTAGACTAGCTAAACCGTCTTTTTTATTTCAAATTCACTCTAATGATCTATCTAGTCCAATTAAATCACAGACTAGCCATCTAGACAGCCGTCCGGACGGAAGACTGTAAGACTATTGGATATACTGTTATAAGATATCCAGTATAGGTGTAGACAGATAGAATCTGAGACTTGGTGGATTTAGGATTTGGGATTTGGGGTGAAGGATAGTGTGATGGTATATTTGTTGGTGTAAGGTAGGCAGGAGATGAATGGGTGGGAAGTAAATAGATGAGACGGGTTGGTGGGATATGAATGGATGAATATATGACCGGAGGCTTCGCTTCTACGGCTTAAGCGAGGGGGCTTAGGTACCGAGGCATACAACTGTCATTTGACAACAACTCCATGAAACTATAGTAGAGTATAATCTTAATTTGAATCTGGCAGATGTCGGAATTTAATCGAAGAGATTACAAATCTCGAAAGAGAAAATTTGATCAATCTTCTTGATTAATATAAGCGATTAATTAATGCTAGTGAGATGCTTTATTGACTAATTGGAATAGACTATGATATAGTAAGATAATAAGAAGCAAAAGAAGGCGGATATCGCGTAGCTATTGTTAGAGAGTTAATTATATAATTATAGTATATAAGATATTATATCGGCGCCGTATAAGTATAAAAGTAGAGAGAGCAGTGTATAGCGCTAGCTCCTTAGTATATATCAGTTAGTTAGTTAACTTATTTATATTAGCTGATTGATTGGCTAAATCATTTCATCGTTGCTAACTCGTTGATATTTCTAGTATTGATATATAATTGATCAGTTAATATATTAATCCCTATTACTCCTCCCCCCTCTTATCACCCCTCTCTCTTTTTTCTCTTTCCCCCCTCATTTCCCCTCTCACCACCCTTCTCTCTTTCTCTTTCTCCCCTCTCAGTACTCTTTCTCTCTCTCTCTCTCTTCCCTCTCTTTCCTCCTCTCTCGCCACTCTTTTCCCTTGCTCTCTTTTTCCTTTTCTCTCTCTCTTTTTCTCTCCTCTTTCTCCATTTTACCACCCTTCTCTCATTTCTTCCCACCCTCCGAGTTTCCCCCCCCCCTTTTTATATCTCTCTTCACCCCTTTCTCTCCCCCTTCTTTTTTTCTTTTTATATTCCTTTCCCCTTTTTTTCCTTTCTTATTTATTCTTTATTTCGATGATTTTTATTTTTACTACCTTTCCTAATTAATATATAATTCCCAAAACAATCTAATATTAGATTATCCCTTTAAATGCCAAAATGGGCTCCATCGCTTAATAATGATCTATTGACCAATCAGAACATCAGGATTCCGAGGATTTTAAAGTGTTTAAAGCTTCATTCTATAATAACTATTGGAATTTATCATATTATAATAATAAAATATACTTTATATATTATCTTTTTGATAATTCTAATACTCAAACTCTTTCTTATCTAAAATCTATAGGTTTTTCATTTTAAATTATTTATTTTCTATTATAAACTTATTTTTATAAATATAATTACTATTTTTTTTTTCAAACGAAATACCATCCTTTTTGTTTATAATTAAAAGAATATTGAATTTTAATATTCTAATAATAATATTTCTAAATTTTATAAATTTAGATATTACATTTATAAAGATATCCTTTTATTTATTTATAATATTATTAATGTTCTTGAGATGTACACAGACCACATTTGGAGCCCATTTTGGCATTTAAAGGGATACAATTTGATATTTTTACTAATAAAAATTATTAAAATATATTACGAGTATAGTATGACTCGGATATCTTTTAATATTTTCCAAAATAAATCCTATTAACTCAAGAATTGAATTATTCTAATTGATATATTACTAGTCAGCAGAAATTTATTCTCATTAACTAAACACTCTTTAAAATGTTAATTGATTGATTTACACTCATTACTAATAGCCACGTGCTTGGCGGCGAACCCAATTATCGACCTCTTCCTGTACCTCTACCGGTGTTGGCTTGTGATATATAGGCCTCACACCTGAAAAGGTCGAATGTCTATTTTCTATATGCTTTGCACAAGCATTCGATTGCGAATACCCCTGTCCACAAAGAGGGCAAAATTCAGAATGCACCTTTAGTTCTCCTTTTAGTTCTGCTTTTCCTTTTCCTTTTCCTTTTAGTTTTGGTTTTGGTTTTGCCTTTAGTTCTGGTGGAGCTCTCAGTCGTTCTCTTAGTGCCTGGCGCCGTGCTGGCGCTGCAGCGGGACGCTGGATAGGGCCCGAGGATATAACCTCGGGGCTCGAGCTAGGAGATTTTAGCCTCGAAGTGTGTGAACGAGTAGCTGGTTTTGCAGCAGCTACCGCCCGAATATCATCATCAGAATCATCGGATATGTTAGGCAAAGGTTCAAGATCGACGATCTGTTCATTCCACTGGCGCCTGAGTTCGGATTTATCATAGATATCATACTCAGATATTGCGCTAGGTTGTGTGTCATTTGAACTAATGCCACTCGATAGAGCTCTCGCTGCACCACCCATTGAAGGAGCAATTAATCTCCGGGTCTCATTCTTGGTCTTCTTGGCTTCATCACTTATCATACCGCCTCGCGCACGCTCCCTCTTTCTTAAATATTCTATATTTTCTTGTAATTCTGCTTCTTCCCTAGCTCTTTTTTGTCGTAGTTCTGCTTCTTCCTTTTCTTGTCGTAGTTTCCTCGCTCGTGCCGCTTTTTCGTCTATCACTCGCCACTTTTCTTCCCGGCGTTTCGCCTCGGCTTTGGCATTCTCGGCTTCGAGTTGTTGGCGCTGCCTTCTCCTCGCGACTTCTGGGTCAGGTTGGATCACTTTGGTTCCTGAAATTGTAGGAGGTTCAGACACCGGGGCGGCTAATGCTGCTGGAACGGTTCTAACTATTGTTGATGTCGTTGGAGAGAGTGCGGGCCCAGTTATAGCAGCTGCTAATGTTCCTGAAGCGACTCCTGAAGATACTGGTGGTATAGAAGAAGTTGTGATACCGGATACACGAGCTGCTATTGTTCCTGAGGCGATTCCCGATGATATTGGTTGTATCAAAGGTATGATTTCAGATATAGGAGCTGCTATTGCTCCTGGAATGATTCCTGATGAAATAGCTGGTATCGAGGAAGGTACGATGCCAGATGTAGGAGCCGCTACTGTGCCTGGAATGACTTCAGATGTGGGACGTGATACGGATACATCCGCAGCAGTATCCTTTTCTTTATCTTTCCCTTTCAATTGTACGGCGGTGTTGTCTTTGTGACTATCAACATCTATCGGCTGAGAGCTTTTGTCTTGAACCACGGGAGTTTTAGGGATATTTTCCTCACCAGGAAGAGAAAATGTGACCCTTTGGCGTTTTTTCTGATCGACAGGACTAGGAGATCGTCCGCGCTTAGTAGGAGGCGGAGGTAATAGTGCCTGGGGATCTAATTGAGCAGCAATAGCTGCCGCGTCCTGCACTTTCTGCGCTTCTATCGCAGCTAACATCTTTTCATATCCCTTCTTGGCATCCTCAAGTTTCTGGGCGTGTTTGGCCTCCAAATCAGCTAAGGCCTTGCGCTTTGCTTCTTCTGCCTTATCTAACCTCTCTTTCTCAGCTTGTCTTTCATATTCCAGTCTCTGTGAATCCCTTGCCTGTTGACTCTTCTTACTATCCGGGAATAACCAGAAGTTACTCAACCATGTTTCTGCTCGGGCTCGTATAGTCTGGCGAATACCTGATGTAGGGTCGCATGATTTGCTTTGTATGTTTAGCTGAAAGGTATCGTGGTCATTGGGCTGAATCTTTTCTTTAGGCTCAAAAGCGGTTGCAGGATCGCCCGGATTATACAACGTTCCGCCCGGCAAATTCTTTAGGCCTGTTACGGCCAACGCCGCAGCAGTTCTTTTCTGGAGGTCATAGGCATCAATCCGATTCTCGGGATGGTATGCGAGACATTGAAGGACTGTCCGGATCAGGGTTTTTGAATACTTCTGTTGTGTTGAGATAGGCTCTGTTATCAAATCCCCTCCAAAATAAAGACCGAATTTTTGATCCTTGGGCACGTTTGAAATCGCAAGATTCCACGCACGATCACCAACTGGCTCTCGTTTTATCATATAGTATATTAGGGCACCTATTCCAAATATGTTGCATGGTGCGGCGATCCTGCGTCTTTCCATATCAGGATATTTCTGTTCCTAATTACACTATTAGTACATTGATTTTGGGGCAGTTTATAATGACATACCGGAGTAGCCCACTCTGGAGCAGCACGTCCACGGACATACCACATCCATTTTGGATCGGTATAGTCAAGGGGAATTACTTCTGCTTTTGCAAATTTCCCAAGCTGAACCTCCAAATTAGTTTCGTTCTTCGACATTGAGGGATACTTTACTTACCATAAATTTTGTGAGGTTGCTATGTTGTCCATCTGGTTGCTTGATATCCTTGGTACAGAAGACTGAAATAAATTAACGCTCATGATTATCTTCAAACTCAGAGACAAACTTACTGCTTTCCGGTCTTATATCAAGATGAACGATTGATTTGAAATAGTCTTCACCCCATCTGACACTTCGCCTAGAATCACCATGCTCAAGCATCATACAGATCTTTGCCAGGCAGTCCATGGTACTCCATATATCATTCTCCGATGGGTATTCTGAACTGAAAATACTCTTTAGAAGAGGAGCGAAACCCAATTTTAAGGACTTACAAGTAATTGTTTTCCAGCCACTGATCGAAATTTCCTTCTTCGCAGTACTCGGTATATAATCTAGCTACAGTCTCTGGAGCGAACTCGTGAACATACACAGGATCAAATGTATCGTCGGTGCCAGTACCCGCATCTTCTGCATAATATCTGACTGGTTTAACAATGTGGTCGATCCATGCACCCTTAGTAATGGCGTGAAAGGTTTTGAGAAAGTCGGAATCCTTCTTCAATAGCCTCTTTGCTTCAGCGCCATATACTTGTTTGACAACAACTCTCTTGTAATCCGCGCGCGAAGTTCTTCTTTTGAAAACCCCAACGCCTTTGCCCAGAGTCCTCTCTCCGATCCATCTAAACTCAGGTGATTTATCGTCGACCCTGGCATTCACATCCCACCCATACGCACGTTTCATCCATTCCTCTCCCCTTCGTTTATCCTTTTCAGCATCTGTGAATTCATTCCATTGATCTGCAGTGGGTGGTCCTCGCGCACCCCTATAGCCTCCAGGGACGAATTTCTTGGGAGCGCCGGCAGCCATGTTTGGTATGTGAAAAATCTGGAATACACATCAAAAATTGATTGGGCTTTCGATTCAATTATCGAAGCCAAGTTGATAAAGAATTTGACATTGCTCACAGCTCACAAAAGAGTTGTGAGAGGAATTTAGCTAGTGCATAAAGACTTTGGGGAATTTCGGCAGTGATTAAATTTCATGAAAGACTAATTTCTTTGTAAATTGTGAATTTAGCCCGCATTAAGACATTTTGGTTTAGAACAAGGAGATATAATTCAACTAGACAGGAATTTTGGCCGGAATGGGCAGTTGTCCAGATGCACATGCAAGCGATATTTTTCGGCCTATGGATATTAAAAGTATGCGAATACTCGAGTAGTAAATCTTACGGACTATGTATTTCTTGTGGTGTTATGTGATGAACAAAATAGATGAATACAAAACTTCTTTTTCCGAACATTTCGTAAAAACATTTCAGTCAAAGACAAACGCATATAGTAGTAGGCATTAGAATCCTCGTACCTGTCTGCGAAGCATTCCACGGTGAGTTTCTGGAACCACTGGGACTTATTATATCTATTTCACAGTGGTTTAATTTACAGGTAGGCTTAAATAGTCGGATTAGCTGAAGTAGAGCTCACAAAGCTAGTCACGAACTAACCAGTACAAAAGAATTCTCAGAAACAGGATTTGATTGGTGTAAGCGAGGATAGTTTCAACTCCTTCCAGTAGGCGAGGTTAATCATGAACCGCATGTATATTTCTACTCTATGATAATCATAAATAATCACATAAACAGAGAATGGATAAATCCTCAGCTCAAAGACTATCTGGAGAAAATCTTTCTTCTCAACTTTTTGTCACGGTATTATTGATATGATAGAATGGGGGGAGTGAAGCGAAGGTTATTTCTAGTATAGTTATGGTGTTAAGCGAAGAACTATAATGTATGTATGAAAATTAACTTAATCATCAATAGAACTATAACATCCATCTAATAGTATCGGCAAGAAGTTAATTCTCCTACGCTGCCTAGAGCTTTTGCATTCTAGATCCCTATTTTCTCCACAGAGGACATGTAGAACAATCTCGACGCGAGAGGTTTGAATAATTTTACTTCTACTCGGGTATATTGAGAGAATTCATACTATCTCACGGTTACGAGTATCTTTATATTTCCCATAAATTCCGCTAAGATTGATTAACTTCCTAGACGTTTATTACTATAATTCCCCACCGAGACCTCCCATCCATATCTCCACACAAACCGTCGCTCACGCATCTTCCCAAGCTAACCCGATCCCTCTCCCAAAATCCCCATTTCCGTTCCATTCAAACTAAACCTATACTTCGCCTCCAAAACATACGGCCCATCCTCCGGCCCCCAAACTTGCTTCTTGCCCCACTCCGGCTGATTAATCCCATCGATCCAATCCTCAACCTCCATCACTACACATCCATGTTGCTGAATCGTACGCGGTCTATCCGTTACATTGAATAATCCCTGCGTTTCCTTGAGCGCCATAGAGCCATTTTGTCCGCCGCACGAATAGACTTGGAAAGCGGTTTGGTCGCTGAAAATATCGAGTTGGATACCGGACCAGGCGGAGCGGAGACGTGCGACGGGGGCTTCGTACCAGGAGGAAAGAGTAGATGGGTCGCGGTTAGTGACGTAGGCGGTGTCGTAGCCGATGCAGTTTTCGCCGCAGTTTCCTAGTAGATCTGGGTTGGAAAAGTTGGCGCCGATTTGTTTGGGGGTGCTCCAGAAATCATTGAGGGATTGGGGTTGGTTGGCGATGATGTCTCCAGTGGGAATGAGGATGCTGTCTGTGCCGATTCTTTGTCCTCCATATGGTAAATAGAGAGAGTGGTTGAGAGCGGTAGCTGTTTCGTTGTTGGCGAAACCGTCGAGGTTCCAGTATGTCTATAGATGAGAGTTTAGATGATTTTGGAGAAGGGAGAGAAGATACTAGACGTATGAAGGAAGACATACATGCGAACTTAACAAAATAGGAGTTTTCTTCGTAGTAGCAATAGCAATCATCTTAAACGACCAAGTCATATTAGTCAATGTGTATGTCACATAACTAACGACCTCTCCCGGAAATCCCTGATTTCCATCTGCATCTATAATCACAAAATTGGTATAAATTCAATCCCAAAACGAAAACCAAAACATCAACTCACCGGTCAAACTAAAAGTAATCGAATTCGTCGTATGCGCCACCACAGTCCAATTCCTCCAATCCCAACCATGCGGACCCCCATGCAGCGTATCAACCCCCTCCGGCTGATCTTTCGTCGGATTTTCATTCGACAACACATGATACGTCTCGCCATCAATAACAAAGCTCGAATTTCGAATCCTATTTGCATATCTACCAGGTACACCTCCAAAATGCGGATGTTGTCTATCTACTCCATAATAACTCGCGTTATCGAAGCCTCCGACAATATCGCGTTCAATACCAGAAGTATCGTTTATGAAGAGGTTGGAGATGGAGGCACCGTAGGCTATGAAGTTTGCGCGGATACCTGGGGCTGAAAGCTCGTATTTGCCTTGGACGTTGGGTCCGGGGGAGCAGCCGGCGATGGTGCTGTTTCCTGCTACTCCTGTGTATTGGTCACCGGGAGATTGAGCTGCAGTCAGGCCTGCTAGAGCACCGAAGAAGATTGTTGATATCATATTGAGTGATATCATGTTGTATGGTTGTTCGATCAGAAGCAGCTGTTGAATTGAGTATTTATGCCGAAGGGATTAAGTAGTATTGGTGTAATGGAGAAGAAAGCTTGGTGTCGGATCGAAATAAACTTGTTTCTGGGAGGAAGGTTGGAATAATTTAAGACGTTAAGACGTTAAGACGAAATCAATTATCTCGTAGATCGTCACCTCAACAGTGAATTCAAAAGGCGGGGTCCAGTGGTAGAAAGATCATCCAAATGACCTCAACTAGCCCTTCTCCGCAGTGAATTCGCAAAGGAACTTTTAGTTCTAGAATAATTGACCTATTCTCCCAACGATCACAGAATTCCGTAGGTTCCGTACTCGAAGCGTACTCGTACTAGAATCACTTGTCAACCTCACTCACAATCAAACAATCGCATTAATTCTCCGAACAACGTGAACAAAGCAATTGATACAGCAACAATTAACACCAAAAGCACTCGGGGAATCCCTAACTTTTATACCATCAACAAAGCACATAACATAACAAACCGAAGTAACACAACTGGGGTAACTCCAACTCCCCCGCACACATTTGCATTTGCATCCACATCTACCCAGCACACGACATATACCCCAAGCACTAGCATGCATCAAAGACCCATCCCTCCTCTTCCCCCGCCATACAATTCGTCAATATAGTCTTTCCTCCGATGACAAAATGCGGGGATACAAACTAACCTTCACCTTGTAAGTTGTACTGCAGCTTTAGCTTCGTAGAACCAACTATTTCCCCTCCTTTCCCATAAACCTACCCTGAAACTTTCTTCCCAGCCCCAATTAGATCTTCTCTTCCCTTCCACGTCTCTGTTTCCAAACAAAACAAAACAAAACAAATGAATAAGTAAAGTAAACCAACCTCTTCATTTACCCACCCACCCAAATCAATAATCAATCCAGGTACAGTACAATTCTTCCTCACGTAAAAGCTTGACTTGACTTATTCTGTCCCTGCTCATCCCAATCCCAGCCTAGTACAGTAACACAACAACTATGTCATGTCGTCCAGTACCAAGCCGTTAAAATATCAGAGATTCCTATTGGTGCGTTTAGTCAAACTTCCCGCGATCCTTGTATTTTTTGCTGGTCATGCTCGGTAATATACACTCTAGAGAATAGAGCATGCGGGGTACTATACTTTATACTCGAGTAGTTATAACTACTAGGAACTTGTCACGGGTTCACTACCCGTTCCTAGCTAGCTCGGATGGATGCCTTAGGCATCCATCCACCATATAGTCGTCGTCGCTCCGCGCGCCTCCTTCTCTCCTCGTCGAATATCATACATCTTACCTAGTTCCCACCAGCACCCGTACCAGCCCCGTGATAGAACTCTTAGTATAAACAGCTAATTATAGTTAGCTTTATTAATAATAATAATAATATTATTATTATTATATAAATTGATTACTAGTATAATTAACTAATATATAAAAATAATCAAAATAATCAAAATAAAATAAAATATCTATAATACAATCAATAAAGTATCTTATACTCGAGTACTACAAGTAGTATTATATATATCTCAACTACTTTAATATTATTTCAAAACAAAAGATAAATAATATAATTACTACTACTACTAGAACCAAAGAATTACGCTATATACAATAATAGTCATATATAGTTATCTCAACCCTAACCCTTACCCCAAAGAATTAAAACTATACTCCATCCCATTCACCCCGTCTACTCCATCCCATCCCATCTTATTCATCCCATCTACTCCACACTCCACACTCCACCTCATTCACCCCATCCCCTCCAATACTCCATTATCAAGTCCCTTCCCTTCCCGGTCCCAAATGATATTATCCAAATACCTGGTATCCCTTTCACCCCATCCCCTCCGAGTCCCCACTCACTCTACCATCCATACCATTCATCCATACCATACCAATCCTACTCATGCTACCAGAAAGTCGGCAACTTGGGAGCTAAAAGGACTAGGTTACTCCCTTGTAATTTACCATTCTGGTTTACCCGAGTTGCGGACTTTCTGGCAGCATGAGTACCATTCGTGCGCATAACTCCATCCCTCTTCCCCCCGTAACATGGAAAATCTTCCGACCGATAGGTCAGCTTGATCCAACAAATTTAATTTGTATGCAACTTACCTATACCTGTACCTAGCCATCCATGCAGGTATGCGTTTATAAACTTGATGTTGTATTGCATAGGTCTCGTACGACTACTGTTGGATTGATGATCGGAATGTGGAACAAAGTTGGTATTCACACTTTTCGAAGCAGTCTTCCATGAAATGAATTGTTAAAGTATTCATTCTAATCCAGCGCTCCACTTTCCATTTCTCATAATATCTACACAAGAGCGCTCGTTTCAATGCAAAGGAATTCCGAGAGATATATTGACAACACTAAACACGCTCTTACACTCTCCCAAAACTACTCTTCACTGCCCCTTCCCGTCCATCATATTGGTACTCATGCATCAATCAAATTCTCCTCTTGTTGCCCATCCTTCGCCTTTCCTTCCTCACTGTTATCCTTGGTATCCTTGTTACCAGCACGTCCCTTACCCTTGCGGTCAGCTGCAGATCGTTGATAGAATTCTGCCAGAATCTTTTGTGGGATACGGTTGAGCAATTCTTTGGGGTAAATGCGGAGTAAGCTCCATGCTTGGTCGAGGGATTCATAAATGGTTCTCGATTCGTATGCAGATTGTGAAATGAAAGTACGCTCGAACTTTTCCAAGAATTCCAACGAGAGTTTATCCTCAGATGACAAAGCTTCCTCACCAACGACTGCCTTCATTGATGCTGCATCACGACCAATGGCATATTTGGCGTACAATTGGTTGGAAACATCACCATGATCCTTTCTAGTGAGCTTTTCTCCGATAGCAGACTTCATGAGACGGGAGAGCGATGGCAAAACATTGATAGGTGGGTAAATACCACGATTGTGTAATTGACGATCGATGAAGATTTGTCCTTCGGTAATATAACCAGTCAAATCGGGAATAGGGTGAGTAATATCGTCGTTGGGCATAGTCAAGATAGGAATCTGAGTAATGGATCCATTTCGACCTTGGACACGACCGGCACGTTCATAGATGGTGGACAAATCGGTGTACATATAACCAGGGTATCCACGGCGACCAGGCACTTCTTCACGAGCTGCCGAAACCTCACGGAGAGCATCACAGTATGCAGTCAAATCAGTAAGAATAACCAAACAATGCTTCTCCAGTTGGTAGGCGTAGTATTCGGCGGTGGTAAGAGCAAGACGAGGAGTAATGATACGTTCAATACTGTGAAATATTAGTCTTATGACCTACAACGAGGGACTGGACTGATACTTACGTTGGATCATTAGCCAAATTCAAGAAGAGGGTAACACGCTCAAGACTTCCGTTCTCTTCGAAATCCCGAGTGAAGAAACGTGCAGTTTCCAAATTGACACCCATAGCTGCGAAAACAATGGAGAAGTTCTCCTCGTGTCCATCGTGCGTGCCTTTGTTTGTGATACCTTGTTTTTGAACCAAACCAGCTTGTCGACAAATTTGAGCGGCGATTTCGTTATGTGGCAAACCTGCAGCAGAGAAAATAGGAATCTTTTGTCCACGAGCAATGGAATTCATAGTATCGATGGCGGAAATACCAGTGGAGATCATCTCTTCGGGGTATACCTGATATAGTTTAGCCAAGAATGCAAATGACAATTTGCCAGTCTTACTCTTGAATATGGGTTGATAGGACTTCCGTTGATGTCCAAATAGTCTTCTGCCAACACCTTTGGTCCCTTATCAATGGCTCTTCCAGATCCATCGAAGATTCGACCCAACATATCTTCGGAAACTCCAAGTTTCAAACTGTGTCCCGTGAACTCGACTGTGGACTATTGTAGCATTAGTAATAGTCGCAGATATCCCGTTTGTAATTTTGGCATACCTTCTTCACATCGATACCATGAGTGCCCTCGAAAACCTAGCCGCTGGTTAGTATAAGATGTTGATAAACTTTGAACATCGAATTCGTACTTGGACAACTGCTCGATCACCTATAGAAATAATAAGTTAGAACTTGATTCCGCATAGCCAATGGCACATATACTACATACCTCTAGCTTCCAACACTTGTCCTGACCTCTGTGTGCCATCAGGCAAAGTCAAGCTAACAATCTCATTGTATCTTGGGAATTTAACCTGCGACCTCATCAGAACATGTCCAAAATTCCTCACCCATCATCCTCCAAACTCACATTCTCCAAGATAACCAAGGGACCATTGATACCGCCGATGGTATTATACCTGATTCTCGGCGTAACATTGTACGACGACGACTCTCTTGGATCTCCCATGGTTGCGATTCGGTTTGCGTATTCGGATTGTGAGAAAGAGAATTATTAAAGGTGCTTCAGCTCGCAAGAAGCTCCAGCGATGATTATGCTGGTTGGTTGCGTGGATGACGAGCTTGGTTGTTTGAGAGGTTGGACAGCTTGAGATGCTTCAGGGTGGAGCTTAGCTGGTTGAATCGAGGCAATTGCGATAAGCGACAAGGTCGCGTTGGATCACGTGCCGATCTTTCCTTGGCATGAACTTGTTGCGGAGTTAGTACTTGATTTAGAGCCATAGGTTAGTTTGGAAGAGAAAGTAGAGGCCTTGGGTTCTATGTTCATTTCATTTCATTTCATTATAGCATAGCATAGCAATCTTGGGAAATGCTACACAGTAATAACCAATCCTTTCCCGACTCCGACAAACGCCAGCCACCCCTCCCTAAGCATTATAGACAGTTTCGGACCTTCTGACTGGGCCCATATCGACTATAAGAATCATTTCCGACTTCTTGCCCCAATGATCGCTCTCCCAACACTACTTGCATTTGGCTTCCCAATTTCCCCAGTGATCCACTGTCCAACATCAGCGAGAGCATCTAAATCAACGCCTGTCTGCATTCCCATGCTCTCAAGCAAATACACCATATCTTCTGTGGCGATATTCCCCGTAGCTCCAGGACTATATGGACATCCACCCAATCCACCAACACTGCTATCAAAAGTCCTAATCCCATGCTCCAAGCTCACAACAGTGTTGATCAATGCTTGTCCATACGTATCATGGAAATGCATGGCTATATCTTCACTAAGAATACCAGCAGATTGCATTGTACGCAAAAGCTTGGAAGTTTTAAGTCCAGTACCCATTCCTGTTGTATCGCCGAGATCAATCTCATCTGCTCCCATTTCCAATAACTCTGTTGCTATTTCTGCCACTCGATGAGGATCTACTTTGTCACCTTCAAATGGACAACCCAATACAACGGATATGTATGCGCGAACTCGCATTCCGGCCGCCTTCGCGCCTTGTATGACTTCTTCAAAACGTTTTAATGATGTTGCGATATCACAATTGAGATTCTTTTGTGAAAATGACTCGGTTGCGGCTGCGAACACCGCCATCTCAATATACGGTTTGTTGGGAGATAATTCAACATTTTTGGGGGAAATATCAGCAGGAACGTCGGCAGTATTGTAGGCATTTCGATTCTGGGACAAAATATCCAATGCCGTATCGAGACCTTTCTTATTGGGCGCCAGAAAAGAGTATCGTATTGGACCCGGTGAATGGCTTTGATTTCGGAGGACATGTTCAAGAATTTCACTCGCATCTGCCATCTGTTACAGCCCTGGAGTCAGTTGCCGCTGATATAGATTGCATTGGGTATCTCAGCTTACCTGCGGCACCCATTTCGGTGCAACGAAAGAACCAGCTTCAATATCTTGCAAGCCCGTCTTTGCAAGCCTTTCAATCAAATTGACCTTCGTCGCTAAAGGTATTATCGTCTTCTCATTCTGCAATCCATCTCGAGGTCCTACTTCCACTATTTTGACTCGATTGTCTACATGTTGTTTATTTCCATTCGTTTCACCTACCAGAGGATCGGCTGCAGTTGCGAGGCGTCGCAGTTGACGAAATTGTAAGCCAAGATTCCGACCTCGAAATATGCGTCTTGATAACATCACGAACTTGCATTGTCCGGATCACTGGTGCTGTGTTTGAGAGGTCGAGCTTGATAGATCTGGGGAATTATGCGGGGAGAGCTTGACGTGCGGGCCGAGGTTTAACCGATAGTGCGTAGCAGCCTAGCAGGAGAAGAAAGGTTACGGACCGACCAATGGGGAAGTGGTAAAGAATTTTTCCGAACATGACCAAATTCACCCACGTAGTAGATATTACGGTCGAGCTAAAATCAATTTATAAAGGTTACACTGAGGTCCTTCGGAAGATTCATCATACACAGGAGTTTGATTGCTCTCATCTATAACATTCGAGACTGTCATCAAACCCGTTATCTTAAACATCAAAGTCAAAATATTATAAGGTGAGACTTTTCCCATTATCTTAGATCTAAGTTTATCCAAATCAAGTATACTCATATATTCAGGACGAGTATCCCTAGCCAATAATGTGATATTAATGCTCAACTATACCAAACCTTAAAACCCCAGAACCTCAATCCCCTACCCTAGTAACCCTCCTCCCAACTCAACAGCTGTTACGTCGGCGCATCCAGAAAAACCTTCACTTTCTCCCTTGCCTCATACATTGAAACCTCCTGTTCTTTCCTCCCCGCATGCGGTACCTCACTCGCCTTCCCTACAACCATATACCTACCTGCCCGTATTCTCATCCCATCTCAAAACAAGTATCGTATCACTTATCATCAATTTGACACATCAAATCCCCAGTATTGGCATTATCCGGCACGTAATGGAGTATATTGTCACTGGAGATCGATATCTGTACGCGGCTTTTGCCTCCAGTTCCCACGGTAGTCCAATCCAGACCCTTTCGGAACATGATGTTGAGATCGCGCCATTTGATCGCTTGTTGTATTTTGCTGGTTGCAAAACCGAGGAGTTTGTTACCTAGGTTTGAGGAGCTTGGGGGATTTTCTCTTTGGTCGTTGAGGACGTTTATGCTCGGGTCTGCCTCGACGTAGGAATTACCTTTTGGTATTGAACGGCTTAGTTTGGCGCATCCAACGTGAGAAAGACGGCAAGTATCTGAATTCTTCGTAAACCCGGATTCGTTCATTTTTCAATGGATTCGAGCAACTTCGACGATGATTGTTTCATGGCCTTGATGAGGTAAGACCCACTCGGTGAGTGGAAGATTATCAGATACGGGACTTGACCATGAGATAGAACCGTCTAGAGTGCCATTGAATCTGAGTGTGGCTTTGACCGTGGAAGAAAGTATCTTTCGTTGTAGATATTCATCTGGTCTCGGGGGCCTTCAAAAGTCTGTGTAACGCAGAGGTGGTATGCCTCGCAGTGTAAAATAGTGGCGATTGATGCTCGGAGGAATGATGGTTCAAAATGCTTGAGCATATCTCGAGAATTGAGATCCCATAATTGACAGGTATTTCTTGCTTGCAACAATCGTGAGGAAGACTATGTAGCCCGAAAACTTTATCACGAATATCCTCACACTGTGCTTTGCTTCGCTGTAGGTAAAGAGAAGCTCCAGAAGCGGATGTGCCTGCTCTTCGAACTTTTGTATCTCCTATCTTTGTTGATGGAGTCGAAACGGGATACTGTCCTTGATCCTACAGACCAATCTATTTACTTTCTTGTCCCGAAGAGTTAACCAATGCTCAGATATCTGTTCCAGATTATCACAACATCGAGCCAGATCTCCCCACTCAAAATTGTAGTCGCCGCATTGGACCAATATTTCCTTTGCAAGAGTCAACTCCTGAATGATCCAAAATCGCCTCCGATATGCGCAATGAAACAGCCTACGTGACAATGCCTCCAAAGAACGACTTGGACTTAAAGGGTAATAGTGAGTAAGGTAGTCCGGTAATGGGTTGGTTTTGGTCCGATCGTCTACCAGACCGACTGACAGCTTGCAGAGTCCTTATGGCAATTGATGGAATTGAATTCCGTTGTTTCAGTATCGTATGCGGATGGAAATTCTCCTTTTTCGTCAATACCTATCCAACAGATCACTCTTGTCGCTTCTTGATAGATCTTGGCATCTTGCTCATCTGCCCCATTTAGTGATTCCGCTCAAAGATATCATTTTGATTGATACAGAGTGCGTCTACCAAGAGGATTCGCTCTGTGTGATCGTCTTGTAATCGATGTAAGGCGGACCAAAGATTCGCCTCGTACCAAACATTTCTGCCCATTTATAATAAAGATCATCCGACGATCTTGAATTGAACCCAATTGATACGACAAGGCTTCATAATTGAGGCCTGACGTGAAAACTTACACATTTCAATTCGCATTCAATATTTATCATTTGGGGTGCGATCTGATTCCTTATTAAATCTTGGAAGAAGATGCACGACTCGTATCTGATTCCTTATTTAGTCTTGGGAGAAGATGGCACGACTCGTATCTGATATATATTTGTCAATCATTAAAGATCTATACATAGAACCCCAACCATTGCCAAGATTTAATCAATATTGTAGATAAAAATCTTCAGAAAACGAATTGACTTTCCAACATATATGATAGATACTTGTAACTCGTATCTGAAAGAATTTGATCCCAATTAGGCAATTCCTCGTAAATTCAGGGGAGAGTATCAATTAATATTAATTGATTGAACGGTTTATGCGATTTAAAATGAAAATAATGCGCTAATACATACAGTAGTACAGTATCATTATTAGTCCCCGAGACCTCAAGTAGCAGCTTCACCAAGGTCGACGACGTTAGACAACTTGTACTGAGTAGTAGTTCTCGTTCTCGATAAGTCAATATATGTCTTGGTACAAATTCATTCATGTAAAGTCTTACCTTGGCTTGTACAGAGATAACTAGATTCTCAACGAACAACCAACGAATGAATCTTCAATCTACAAAAAGAAAGTTGGACTGATCAAGTTTTCTTTTTCCCTCCCGCATTTCATTTCATCCCTCCCTCCTTATGCCAAAAGTGCCGAAATACTACCATGGGGCAACAGGGAAACAACATCCCCGGACGAGGGTCACGGAAAGTTACGTTGCCAATATACGGGACAGATATGGAAGTACCGATTAGATTCAATCTCGGTAGTGTTCCAGAAACCCCAAACTTCTTCAAACTCTTCAAACTCTTCAAACTCTATTCTTGTCTCCCGTGCAAAGTGGGAAATATGAGAAATTAGAAGTTCGATAAACTTGTATTTTCATTTGAGAGATCTTCGTCGGTTACCCCAATCGTTTGGAAAATTAACTTGGGATCCCACCTTTGATAAAGATTAATCATTCTGGAATTTTCTTGTTATTTATCAAACTTTCCCATCAGAAAACGAACTTTGACCGTGGTTTCAGTTCATAATTATACGCCCGCCCGCCCATCATGCCTGGTTTTGATATCATAGTAACAGAAACGACGACCGTTGAACTAGAAGTCGATCTTACGGTTTGTGCCCTTCCGAAGGATTCTTCCCAACTATGTACCATACCCAGTATATGCAGCAGCAGCAGCAGTATGACATGCTAATTAAAGATCTGAAGATTGTCAATACTTACTATTCGGATAGCGAAGAGGAGTATGGGACCGAGACAACGAGAACATTTCATGAAAACGTAGATGAAAGTAAGTGTCCATATTTAATTCCTCTCACATAGTTAGTACAGGATATTAACTTTACAGAATATCTCTTTCCTATTGATAAGGTAAGAGTTGTGCTTTGTTCCGAAGAAGAAGAAGAAGAAAACTCGCTGAAACTACTTGTTGTCAGTTTGAACACGAAAGATTGGGTTTGTAAATCTTGCGAAATATTTGAAATTCGAAATTCTATATAATATCTTGTGACTAACTTTGACTAGATCACCAACATGAAATGCTAAAGGCTTCATTGGATGATCAAATATTCCTAGCTCCCATAAAGCCAGATGAGATCAAACATGTTCTCGAGTCAGTTCCCTTTTTGTCTAATTTTGTAATTTCACGTCGTTGGAGCTTTCTCTGACGATTTATACTACTTCATTGCATTGTTGAATATTTCCTTCTCTCGTGCTTCTACATTACAATTATTAACTTTTTGAATGTCTCAGTATTGGAAGTGGACACGGCAAATGGGCAGTTGACTTTGGTAAATCATACCCCGAGCTTAATCCTCGGTATTCGCAAACTAACCAAAATAGCTTCCGAGCACCCAAATACCCAAGTCATTGGAACAGATCTGAGCCTTCCAACTCGCGAAAGGTAAGCCAGCTTCCCACAATTAACGATCAACGACTAAACATATTGCAGTGTACCTGAAAACTGCAAATTTGTCATTGCTGATGCGGAGGAACCATGGCAATTTCCACACAAATTTGATTTTATCATCCTACGCGATTTGATGATGTGTTTCAGCGATCAAAAAGAAGTGTTCAGATCAGCTTTCGATGCCCTTGAGCCCGGTGGCTATTGTGAGATCCTCGATGCCAAACTTCCCCTCAATTCCATCGATGACTCAATGGAAGGTAGTGCGGTTGCCCAGTGGTTCCAAGCATGTGTTGAAGCGGGTGAATCGGGTGGAAGGCCCTGGACTAATATCCCTAAATATCGGGAATGGATGGATGATATTGGGTTTGAGGAGGTGACGGAGACGGTCTATGATGCTCCAATCAATGATTGGCCGATAGGGGTTAAAGAGAAGAAAGTCGGTGCAATGATGCAGAAGGATATGAAGGAATTCTTGTATTCCACCAAGCGTCTCATAGTAGAGGGTTTAAAATGGGATGAAGCGGTGGTCAGCAAATTACTAAATGAGGCGAAGAAATCTGGGAAGGATCGGAATGTTCACGCATATGTCCCTATGTAAGTCTCAAGTCTCAAAGCTCATATGAATATATGTAACATGACTAACTAATAACACACAGCTACGTTGTATGGGGTAGAAAACCCAGCAAGTGATGAACAATCACCGGATTTCATTTTGCGATGGGGGGATAAGGGGAGGGGTGGGAGGGAAAGGGGTTGGAGGGAACATTTCAAAAACACAAGAAAGCGAATCTATTCAGCATACTTTGTTTATTTCAGCATTAGCGATACCACACAATTAGTCACCAATTTCAACGTTCGATTAAAAATTTGGTGTCCTGTTTGACAACATTGACGCCATGTACACGCGGCGGCTGTGGTGATACATGGGAACGACGATATGGGTAGACTAGAGACTAGAGACTAGTCCCTTCATTTATATCTTACAAGTTGAATGTAAAATATGTGATGAGAATGAATCAGAAAAATTGAAGCTAGGTGGGCAAGAGAAGGGGCTACCGGTTGATATTATCTGGAGTAAAATATGATTGATATACCGGTGCATCAATAGAAAACGCATCTACTCGAGTACAGTACAAACGACAATCAGCACAATACATCTCATCTAAAAACCCTGAAAATAAAATAAAATAAAACAAAACACAACCATCAACACCAAACACCAAACACAAGTCCTGATATCTTACTAGTCGGTACTCGATATCCTCCAAGTCCAAGTCCAACACCAAGAGACTAATCACGTGCGTGGTTATTTTATCTTTATTTTCCACAGCCTAGCCCAGCCCAGCCTTTGCCCAGTAATGCCAAGTTGAGACGATGGGAGAGCAAAACGCAAAATGCAAAAGAAAGGGAATTAGAAAGAGAAAGGGATGGGAGTTATTGATTTATTGGCAAATTGTTTGTTAGAATTTTGTATGAGTACGAGTACTCTATGTGTATACGAGGTATATATGAATATATGAAACAGCTAGAAGAAAGGTGAAAGCGTGAGATCCTGTGTGGATATGGATATATTCAGTTCGGTATCCGTGAGCAAACATTATGGTTCGAGCCCTTGGGCCTTTATGCTCAATTACTCAAGTACCCTCTAGGACATTGAATTGCTGGATTCTTTTGTTTTTTATTATACTGAATGTATCAGTATTGATACCGATTCAATAATACCGGTAATGGGAGATAACTTCTTCTAGACTCGAGGAAGGGAAGGAAGTGGATCGGAAGAATTGCGGCTATTAATATTAATAGAAGACTTCATCTGGAAGAGATCTGAAAACAAAACTTCGCCAAAGCTTCACCAAAACATAACACAACACAACAACATTGCAACAAACACACTCCCGAGTCCAAACTAATATCATCAAAACATAAGATATCATGAAACATACCTCCCCTCTCCCTCTCCTCTCTTTCGCTTTCGGTCTTCGCGTTTGACAAACAACCCCGAAAAGGCGCTTCTCGCAACTTCAATTGATCGGACAACCCCACGGTGTTGGCGTTTGATTTCAAACAACGCGATTACAAAAGTACCTGTGGAAAAAGATCTTTGAAACATGGAACATTCTAAAATGATTGGTTGATGAATAGGGTATTTGACCCTTGCACGGACTTATGCTCGACCCCTCGCTGCTCGAGCACCTTTACTCTACTATCTTGGGTCGATACTCTATCTTTAACCCTGTATATCTGGGAAAGATGTTGGAAAATGAGGTATTCTATATTTCACATACGACGATGATAGTTATTTACGTTGTGCATTCATATTCCAAGACCATATTATCTCGTCAATGTTGATGAAGGGGATTTTGCAGGATAACCGAGGTTAAGATATACAGTATGAATGAGCCAAGCTGCTTACATCCCGAACTCAAAACTTCCCCAACAACAATCACCATACCCATAGAATAAAGATCTTATCTCATCATCTATCCATCAATCTGAAGCAGGAGGTCCGGAAAGCACCTCACTATTCCTGGTATAGCGACCCGCCATCAGATCTCGGATCCGCTACATTAGCCGCAAAACCATCCAAACTTTGACACTACAACCTATAGTCTAGTTTTCGCATCGCAAAGAGCGAACACACCCAGCAAGATCATCGCTGTTTGACGGACACCATTCAAAATGCAAGAGGCCATCTATCATCCTCGCTCGAAAGTTCGCTTTTCACGGACTTGGGAGAGAGCGAGATCAGATGTAGACAGTGCCAATACCCGTGTTTGCGCATTGAGAAGCCGGCTTACTCGAACTGCTTTGACTATGTGAAAAGGATATATAGATACCGTAAGTTCTCAGGAAATATGATTATTATTCTCATCATCTTTACTTCATCGTCTTCTGCTTTAGTCTTGCAATTCTCTTGATACCCAATTCATATTACCTTCATACTTCTTCACGAAACAAATCTTTCAAAAAACCTTTCAAAATGTCTGCTACAAACGGAACCCATGGAGCCACCAATGGTGCAAAGGAGATGGTCGATTACACCAAAGTCTCAGGTCCTCTTGGTATTGAGAGCGCCAGCTTAAAGGGAAAAGTTGCCTTGGTCACTGGCTCAGGTAAGCAATCTTCACCTTCTAACCTTACCACCCATCCTAACATTTCTTCCCAGGTCGTGGAATCGGTCGTGAAATGGCCTGTGAGCTCGGCCGTCGCGGCGCAAAAGTTATCGTAAACTACGCCAACTCCGACACTGCCGCCCAAGAAGTCGTCTCCATCATCAAGCAAGCCGGTTCAGAAGCCATCGCCCTCAAAGCAAACGTTTCCGTCGTCTCAGATATCATTAATCTCTTCGAGCAAGCCAAGAATCAATGGGGCAAACTCGATATCGTTTGCTCAAACTCGGGTGTTGTTACCTTCGGACATATTAAGGATGTTACCGAGGAGGAATATGATCGCGTCATGAACATTAATACTCGAGGTCAATTCTTTGTTGCGAGAGAGGCGTATAAAAATCTGGAAATTGGTGGTCGTTTGATCATGATGGGATCGATCACTGGACAGGCTAAGGGTGTGCCTGCTCATACCGTGTACTCTGGTTCCAAGGGTGCCATTGAGACTTTTGTTCGCTGCATGGCTATTGGTACGTGCTCTCCCAATCCATCCTCCCTCTACCCCTCCCTCTTCCCCCTCCCCCTCCACCACACATCCCAAATCACACAACTAACCCCCCACCAGATTTCGGCGACAAGAAAATCACCGTAAACTGCATCGCACCAGGTGGAATCAGAACAGACATGTACCACAAAGTCTGCCGCGAATATATTCCCAACGGCGCCAATTTGAGCGATGATGAAGTAGACGAGTATGCGGCTACCTGGTCGCCGCTTCACAGAGTGGGTCTCCCGATTGATATCGCGAGAGTCGTCTGTTTCCTGGCAAGTCAGGATGGAGAGTGGGTTAATGGAAAGGTTATTGGGATTGATGGCGCGGCTATGATGTAATGTACGAGTAATGAATGGGTGAATCTTGAAGGATTGATTGAATGGGGGATATTTCGGGGGAGTTTTTTGTTGGCTTTTTTTTTGCTAGGGTAGGTAGAGTTAGAGATTGTTAATGCAGAAAGATATATTGTATACCAATTTTGATTATAATCCACTCACTCGTGATACTGTATAGCAAATGTGAGAAGATGAGCGATGAGTCCGGCCGCTCGGGTCGGCCAATGATATTACAGTACTCGCCTTGAAGAGCTCAGACTTGTAGATAATATGTATTGATTGATAACAGCAGTTTACAATCTACTCGAGTACAATCCTTGTAGCTTATGCTGTGTGGTAACTTAAGTTGTCAAATACTAATTCGGGAGTCGGGACTTCCTTCCACCTTTTGGTGTATCTGCATATAATATCATATATAAAGTATAAAGTATTATACTTCTTGTAATCGGGTCTACTGTACGAGGGATGGATGATCTTAGACTTCAAGGCATATACGGCTTGTGAGTTCATGATATCGGGATGGGATGGTTGCTTGTCATTAAGTGAGATTACATTTTTTGCGGTCCTGACCTGACCTGACCTGACCTGACACTGTGGAATGATGCAGGGCAGGGGACAATAGGTGAGTATGTTGAATATGCAACGATTCAGACGCCGTAGCTGGTAAGGGTTACTACACTTCGTATTGATTACAGTACAAGTACTAAATTTCGCAATATGTTACTTGTTATTTATTATGCACCATACATACATACCCTAGGGTAGGGCATCATTTCCTTCCCGCCTTCTCGGAAGGTCGACGCATGACAGACATGGTTTCAACAAGCACTCTACTCTATCCAGAGCCTTCCACTCTTCGCTCTTCTGATTCTCCTTAACTTTGGCTTGACTTCTACATCCCTGATATTCTCAGACCCATGCGCCTTGTAAGATTACAAAGGCACGCCGATCTGTGATCCTTCAACGTAACAGTCGAGGCTAAGCTCATCTGCTCTTCTTGTTCCCCACTTCATCGCGAGACTTCCTATACCTCTTCGATGATGCTGGGGATCGGCGAGTACTACCTCGACTGCTAGATTATAGCTTCAGTACCGGTAATCAAATTTCCCTCCTCGAAAAAAATAGATAAACATGTATCAAAAGAAACCACAGCATACCTAAATGCGGTCCCCTCACTCCCTGCATATCCCCCCAAATCCCCAAATCCCTCTTCGAATAATCTCTCCTTTCTCCCTCAGGAAGCCACCACGGATCCATAGCAGCAGCGCCCTCGACCCTTTCCTCCTCCTCCAACACCACGCTCCAACACCCACCGCCCACAACTTGATTCCCAAGCTGGGGATCCGCCACCGCGAGCCAATGGCTATATGGATCCACCGAGTGGCGAAACCACGATCGACATGTGAGTGCTTGCACGGACGGCATCGAGACGTGCATCCGGACTACTTCCTAAGACTGGGTAAATACTTGTGAGGCGATGCTCATAGGCGTGTCGAAGGCATTGGCTTGTACTCGGATCACGTCGATGAATTCTAGGGCTGATTTTCACCTCGTGAATTTCGAAGGACATGGTTGTGAAATTGTTGGTGGTTCAATTGATTGGTGATGAAATAGGGTTGGTAAGGTTAGGTAAGGAACTGGGTTGGGAATGTGTGGTGTGGTATGGTAAGCAGTTCGGGTGCTTCTCCTCAAAGCTTTATAGAAGGTTATTACGTATTGTAGGGCACCCCTGACCCTAGAAGTCATCGATATATGTCCATTTCCTCGATATTTTCTTTGCAATCATGGGTCCTCTGTTGGACGGACTCGAGAAATTCAACACAACATATATAGAACATGATCTCTGATTGAAATTATGTCATGCATGCACATGGATACTTTGAGCATTGATAACGAATGCTATATACATATGCATGAGAAGATGAAGAGCAAAGAGCAGTTGGTGTAGTTGCCGCCGGGCCGAGTTGCACGGCATACAGTATCTTCCGATCATCCATTGATTAGGCGATTCGAGACCCGACTGTCTGGGTCCAGATGTGGGGACATTCGTCAAATGACATAAGAAGATACCGATATCCCTGAATTAGGGCATGAAGAAGACCCGCGTTACCGCGCTGCATGTCTGCGTTTATTGACGCCCTGCAAATACAACCAAAGTGTATGGTTGAATGGTGATCTCTCCTTTGAGCTGCCTCCTTCCCCATTGACCAACATGCGGCTTTCGGGTAAAGTTACCCGTAACTAAAGTCTCTTCGTGATCCTTTGCGCGGCATATGCTTGGCGAGTTCTAATCATGGAGTATCTCCAGTAACTGTTGCATCTAAAAGAGAGACCGATCGTACGTATTTTTCTCGTTCCATCTTTTCGTATTGTACTGACTATCTTAGTAACTCTCGCTTTCAAGAGAAACCCCGATCGTATGTCCCATTGTTGTTCTTGCTATTCTCACACTATACTGATTGTATTAGTGCCATCAAATGTTTAGAGAAAGCCTGAGCTGTAACATTTTAGTATGACTACCTAGCTCGAAACCTTTTCACGAATTGTATGCCAGTAAACTTACCGTACTCTGAGATACAGCTGCCCGCATTTTGCTTGTCTGCGTGGAAGTGGAGCTGCCATGCCCTGTACCAAACAGCATGACCAATGAGAGTTATGATCAAAACCAACAATAAGGATCGAACTTTTCTTCACAATGCTCGAAAGTAAACGCTTCTGAACTCTGGTATCAATTGGCAAAGACGACCCTTCTTCGTCCGGATTGGCCTCCACTAAGACTTGATACTTTTGTCTAAAAAGATAAGTCATAACTGATATGAAAGTAATCGCAGCAGGGAACGAAAAGTGGGAATGGCCGTCATCTTGAATAATGAAAACTTCCATATAATATACGGAGTGTTTCCGAGAATCTGCTTTGCCGCACAACGCACAACGCTGTGAAGCATGAAGCCGTATTTGGTTTACGGGATCGGGGTAGGACATCCACTCGGATGTCGACCGCTTGCCACCTAGATACTTGATCTTGTGATCGGAGCGGAAGTGAGCGGGGTCCTCGGCGGGGTGTTTTGTCTACTAGGTATGGGTACATAAAAACCAACAGCCACCAACATCTTACCAACATCTACCAACGGGTTGATGATTTCAAGCTCCTTTTTTGCCGAGGTGCTGTCTATCATCTTGCATGTAGAATTGCACCTCATTGTTGAAATATTCGACTCTGGTTCCTCGCTATATCTCAAAACCAGTATTGAAGTATGTTCCTGCAGATTAAACCCAAAACTTGCTCATTGATTGCCCATCTGATTGTTCTTCTCTCTTAACCACAAAATCTCAAGTTGATTTTCGAGTCCGACAATAATTCAAAATATCCACCTCCAAGCATGGGACCTTCATATGACGTTATCCAACCTTCAGGCCCAACCAAGGCTTCAAGTGTCATGATTGTGAGCACTTTCCTCCCAATCTTAGCGCTCATCAACGTCGCTCTTCAATTCAATGGTCGACGAAGGCAGAAAGCAAAGCAAAGCTTAAGATTGACGATTGGATCATAATACCAGCTGCTCTGATGGTAATCGGCATGGCAATATGCGGGATACTTGGTGATTGCCAATCTGAAACTATTTCCTCGCCACGGCTAAGAAATGTTTGCCACTGAGGTATGACTCAGAAGATTTTGGGGCTATCATGAGCCCGTCAATTCCGCAGATGTGCTCGTACCTAGCGTCACCTACGAAGGCAAGGTGAGAAATCCGGTCACAACTATTCTAATATTCTGACAACAAAGACATTCGCTGACCAAGTCAAACTTCCTGGTCCTAGCTGTTGAACTCCTTTTAATACATCCAGATATGTGCGCTGCCACTCATCAAGATCGGTGCTCTCTTATTCTACCGAAGAGTCTTTTGCACACACATGAGATCCACCTTCAAAATCATCAACACGGTAACGATAGTCTTTGTCGTGATTTGGTGGGTTGCCATGGAGCTCGGAAATACGTTCCGATGTGGTCGACATGTTGATGCACTATGGCTCACATCGGAGATGTACCTACAATATTGTGCCGTAGTCCAACTAGCCTTTCGTGCAAGCCTTCACGATCATCAACTTTGTTCTGGATCTATGGATCATTCTTCTGCCGCTTCCCAAGGCACGTGATTCCATGCGCATGAGCAAATCCTAGTATGTTAACTTAGGAACGCATGTAGATCTTCCATTTACACACCAGTCGCGGACGTAAATGGGCCATCTCGGAAGTATTTCTCATGGCTTCCATGTAAGTGGGCAACGATTCCACGACCTCAGGTTCCACGAAGTGGGTATGTTTCTGAACTGCAGAGTTGGCTGACTTGAAATCAGTGGTTTGGCAGCATCGATAACTCGCGCGGGATACATCATCAAGATGTTCGATAGTAAGTACCAAAGACCGATGGCGATGTGTGGCGAGCTAACACCTGACTCATGTACCAAAGCTCAATTTGACCCAAATACCGACTATCGCCGTAAGTGCAGTCTTCTTTACCACAGTCCCGCTGCCCATATTTTAAAACCTCCCAGTGCAAGACACCCTGGTCCAACTTTGAAATATCCATATGTTTACTAGCGGTGAACCTCCCATCTCTCTCAGCCTACGTGACACAATACGCATTGGTCCCCCCCACAAAATTCCTCGCCAGCGTCCGAAGTTTCATATCCCTCCGTTGCAACCAATCATCACCTCGAGACCAGTCGACACAAGAAGTGGTAAAGCCCGATAACCAAACCGAGATCTCCTCGACCTCGATGGCAAAAGTTTATGCCACTGATAACAACAAAGTCGAAGTATACGCCATGCAAGACCTCGAAGCGCAGGAGCAACACATTGTCGCCCCCGGAGGAGCAATAGTGGTGGACTCGCAGGTGTCACAAACTAGACACGATAAAGCCGAGCAGGAACAAATTAGCCAACAGCTGTACCCATTCGCAGAGGGAGTTACTGGTCACCGCTTCTTTCTAGAGGAAAGCATGTTGTACATTCTAGTTCCTTGTGCCGATCAACACCTATGAAGCCACATCGTATGATTTTCAGAAGTAATTAGTTATTAGTAGTCTCTCTCTGTGATAACATGCATGGCCTGGCGTTCAACATAACATACTCGAGTATTCAAATATATTAGAAACTTGTCCAGATAATCATGGGTAACATATCCAGATATTGCCAAGCCAGATTCCGAACTTTATTCAACTCACCAACTAATTCAGTCCAGTCCATGAGTTCTTTGCGCTGTGAGCTGAACATGGCATAAAACAGCCTCTTACTGGTGTCTTACATTACCGGTACATGTGTTTCTCATACACATACACATATATATTCGTCTCTATAACCAAATCTGCCGCCCGTACTTTGCGCACGGAAAAGGAGAGAAGGCCATGTAAACACGAATGTAAGATTACATAGTAGTCAAGTGGATGCACTCGGTGAAGATCTTTTTTTAGGAAAATGGGCGAAGTATTAAATATAGCTGAACGATGTGTGGAGCACCGTATGCTGATAGATGATACAATAACCACTCATTTAAACACTTGAATAAAGCAGTGGGCATATGCTCGCACGTGAAATCTTATTTACATTGCGACTCGAGTGCGTCCAAATGTATTCAGACATTCTCAGCCATTTTGTATACCCTTTACTCCAATAACGCCAATCTATCTTATATGCAAGCCATCCACTTGGGTAGAGTTATCTTCAACGACATCATTAATTTGGCGAATCTACTTCACCATGAACTTGAACTCCTTGCGGCTCCTCCACTGAAGAAGTAGCAATCCTCATTGCTTCCCCCAAAATGCTGAACCCCTCTTCGATTTCTTGCTCGGTAATAGTCAAGCTTGGCACAAATCTCAAGGTATTGGTTCCAGCCGTGATGATCAATAACCCTCTTTCTCTAGCAGCTGTAACAATTGGTGTAGGATCTTGGCTCAAATGTAGACCCAGGTGCAGTCCTCTGCCTCTAATTTCTTTGACGAGTTCTGGGTATTTGGATTGTAAGAGCTGGAAATGTTTCTTGAAGATTTCCGATTTTTTTATGACATCTTTTTGTAATGACGGATCAGATAATCGAGAAACAATGTAATGGGCTATCCTGGATCCTAATGGATTTCCACCAAAGGTAGTTCCGTGATCGCCGACCTTGATCTTTTCCGTTACGTTTTTGTTGACAATTGTTGCTCCAATGGGGAAACCATTTCCAAGAGCCTTGGCGGTGGTGATAATATCTGGATGGGCTGATTTTGGCAATGAAGCATGTGCCCAGAAAGTGCCCGTTCGTGAAAGTCCACATTGTATCTCATCATAGATGAGAACTGCACCAACCTCACGACAACGAGCTGCGAGTGCAGTAAGGAATTCTTCAGTTGCCACAATAACACCACCTTCTCCTTGAATTGGCTCTACTATGACACCACATGTATTCTCCGTAACCAAATCTTTGATAGCATCCACATCGTTATATGTTCCGTATCTAAATCCAGGTAACATTGGAGCAAATGGTTTCTGATATTTCGGGTTTGGGGTTGCGGACAATGAGCCCATGGTTCGACCATGAAATGAATTTTGAAACGAAATAACCTCGTGTTTGGCACCTGATGGATCAACAACCTTTCCGGACTTTCGAGCAAACTTTATTGCGGCCTCGTTAGCTTCACTGCCAGAGTTGCAGATGAAAACAGCTTGAGCATCGTGCATTGAATCTGATTCGAGAGTCTTTTCGATGAGGAGTTGAGAGAGGGCTCCAGTCCATGGATTATGATATAAATTGGAAGTGTGCATAAGAGTTTTGCCCTAATCAGTTGAACTTGTGTTAAATAGGTCCCTTGGAAGAGAATTGGGGATGTAATTTACTTGTTCGAACATTATATTTGCGATTTCAGGATCGCAGTGTCCTAGAGCATTGACTGCTATACCAGCTGTGAAATCCAAGTATTTTCTGTTGTCTGCATCCCAAAGATAACATCCAGATCCCTTCACGAACATCGGTGGTGGTCGGGCATAAGTTGCAACCATATATGGCGCTTGTTCTGCGATTATGCGTGCTGTTTGCGAATTTGGTGAAGGATCTGGATTCGATAGCTTGGTTTCATTCTGAATGACATATTAGCAGATGGCAATACGGTTGGTTGGCTCATCATAGCATACGTGAATATCGTGCTGAGGCTCATCCGATAGATTTATGGCAGCAGCTGTTGCTTGTGAGGCATTTCTCCTCATGAGGCCATTGATAACTGGTGATATATTTCCAGCTCTCAGAGTGGATGTCACCCTGTTCGCAGATAGTCGAAGAGCCATTGTTCAGTACAATGTGTATAAGTATAAGCAGGAAAAGAACAAGGAAAAGTAGAATGATAGCAAAGTTTGAGTTTATAATGACTCTTAATAACAGAGAGAGGGATCTAAAATAGATGTCAAAGGATAAAAAAAAGGGACCGGGGAGTCAACAATCTAAGCGTTATCGGAGCTAATCTAACCATACAAGGATAAAAGGTATGTGAGCAACTCATGAAATAGAAATTTATCTAAATTTATCAATATTGTAAATTAAAACAATAATCTTCTATCAATATATACATTTTATATGTCATGGTCTTAACTTTATGTAATACCGGTATATAACATCTCAGTTATTCTTGATCTCTAATCGCGTAGACTACTACTACTAGGTACCTAGGTACTCGAGTAGATCATAACAGGGTTTCTTTTCTGCCACCGCCTGGTGATTCCATGGCTTAAAATGGACTAGTGTGTTCAGCCCCTCCATCCAACAAAGTGAGGCTTGACTTGAGAGAAACTCATCCTCATCCTGCCCTGCTCCTTTCCTTCCCTTGTTCGCACCAACAAACGTTATTAATTTGATACATTATTCAATCATGTGGAGAAGAAGTAGAAGATTGGCATTACTAATATCTTCTTGAGAGTGTCGATTATTCCTTTTGGGAGAGGTTGAGGACAAGGTTGAGGTTGAGGACGAGAAGGAGGATGAATCACAAGAAGGATGAGGGTTTGTTCGTTGCGCTTCGAGGGAAGGGTTTCGATCAATGATTTCTTGATAAGTCTGGGCCAAATCCTTCAACTTGTCCTTATACTCGTCGAGAATATTGAAATCTGGATTCGGCTGAGGTTGAGGGGGGATTTCCACCAGTTCTTCATCGCTATCCTCGGATTCCCAATTACTGACTGATAAGCCTTCATGTGATGAAGCTGGCGAAGGTAGTGGAGAGTTACCAGCCAGTTTGTTTGCTGCATCAATGTTTTCCAGTGGTTTATGTTTCGATTTCGACTTTGACTTGCTTCTCTTTGGTCGTATTGTGGTTGACGAGGAGATGCACTTCTTTACAATCTGGTAGGTGATGTTTGAGTTTCGAGTTTTGAGTATTCTGGGGGATTCCATTGTGATAGATTTCCTTTCAAGTGATCGGTTTTTGGATGGAAGCTGCTGATTATTGAGATGAAATGAATATTTCCTTATACCATCTTGGAATTTCTTTATACAAATATTTACCGCCGTACGAAGGCAGGGTTTACCAACACCTGGACTGGACCGGGCGTGACCATATCGCTGGACATCATTATTTGCATCTTGCAGCCACATCGTTACGCCGTAGCATTCTAACCTTCTTCATTACTAGCTACTGGTCCAATCAGTCCTGGCAACCTTCTACCGTGGCCAGAGATTTTTTATTGTAGACCTCTGATCTACCGTTAACCGCTCTTGCTATATGATCCAGTGGTCCGCGCGTTTATGGCGGCCTCCTCGGCTTCTCTTTAGTCACTAACCGCGAGTACCCATGAGTACCCATTTTCCCGCGCGGGTTTATCGAGTTCTTTGGTCTTCATTCTGAAATGCCTAGATCAGCCAGCCGACTACACTAAGAGCCGCCGTTGAGAATTCCCGCCGATCCATTTTATATTCAACTGTTCGAGTTGTGAGACGAACTTTGCCGAATACTTCGATTTCTTCATGACCGCGCAAGCTCAGTATTCATCCACTAGACAACAACGTACTTTGAGTCGAACATCTTATAATGGCAGTTTCTTAGCACCATTTGATGGACTGGAGATTATGAACATTTTATTGATCTTTTTATATTGAGACGAGATGTAGCAAACATGTTGCTAGTTTTTTCATCCTCACACTCTCAAGCTCTAATCAAGCACAATCTCCATTCACCTCCCACGACTTGAAAGGATTGATGCTGAGAATTTCAAGAAGACTCCAACATTTATAGGCTATTTTCATCCCCCAATCAGCCCCATATCTCGGCATCTCCACCAGAAAGACATTTCATGAATCTTTTTGTCATGGACTCGTAGGATTCAAAAGAAATGGTTGAACGTGAATGGGTAGTATTCTTACTGGGCTATCAATGGCCTGAGAAGCACGAAGCAACGCAATAATGCGACCATCGGGATCTTTGCCAAATGACACTTTGGAACGAATCAATCAAAGGTGGTAGGTAGGTCATGTAAGATTGATCAACAGAGAATGTCCATTCGTGATCGCGGAATCATGTATTCTCATGATTTGTCACAGATCTGCATCAAAAGCTACGCAGTTATGCTATCGGGTAATACACGACAAGCCCGTCATCATTGCATACTACAACGCTCACCCCGCATCTATATCTCCAGCTGTAATAATATGCATTCAACCAATTGGAAGTTACATCCAAATGCGGTGACAATTTACACACTCTAATTGTAACGGATGTTTATGGACCTCCACGCCATATTTTTTATTTATCCGGATAGTCACTCCATACACTTTAACGAAACTGATATCCCATATACCTTCAAAAAGATATAAATTAATCTCACTGCCTCACCATCCCAAGAATTTCTACTTGTTTAACTTTACGAATTTATTGTCACAATGTCTTCCTCTAACTACCCAATATCCTCTTCAAATGAGAAGCACCATGCTACCACAACCACTAAAATGCGTACTGTTGAATCTGACGTCTCTAGAACAACAATAGATCCAGCAATTGAGAAAGCGCTATTGAGAAAACTTGATCTCCATGTTGTTGCTCCGCTCATGTTTCTCTTTTTTCTCGCTTTTCTCGATAGAGTTAATATTGGCAATGCGAAAATTCAAGGAATGACCAAAGAGTTGAACATGGCGGGGCACGATTATAATATTGCTCTTCTTATATTCTTCCCACCGTAAGACCCCTTCTTATCATTCTTGGGTTTGCATCCTAAGTAGTAGACTATTTGATTGAACTAACAAAGCTTACAGCTATATTCTTTTCGAATTCCCCTCCAACCTCATTCTGCGTCGCATTCCGCCATCACTCTGGCTAACCATTATAATGACAACCTGGGGAATCATAACAGTATGCGAAGGACTAGTAAATACCCACCGCGCACTTGTTGCGCTTCGGTTTCTCCTTGGACTCTTCGAAGCTGGTTTCTCTCCAGGCGCCGTCTATCTCATTTCGATGTATTACAAACGCTACGAACTGCAATGGCGCCTAAGTCTCTTCTTTTGTGCCTCGGTACTCTCTGGGGCCTTCGGAGGTCTCTTTTCTTATGCTCTAGCGCATATGGATGGTATTGGTGGCTACGGTGGTTGGCGCTGGATCTTCATAATTGAAGGACTCCTCACCATCGTTGTTACTCTTGCCTTCAAGTTCCTGGGTATCATGGCCGATTGGCCAGAAACTGCTACTTTCCTCACACCATCAGAGCGAGAAATCTTAATTCAGCGATTGAAAGATGATATGGGTGGAGATACACGGCTTAATACACTAAACAAGAGATCAACGAAGAGGATATTGGGAGATTGGAAGATTTACGTGGCAATTTTGATGTATATGGGAGTTGTGACTACCGGATACGCTACAAGCTTCTTTATTCCGACAATTATTCAGGAGATGGGATATACAGCGATCAGTAGCCATGTTAGAACTATCCCTATTTATTGTGTGGCTGCTGTTACGGTATGATTACATCTTCAATTTGCCTTCAGATTTTACTTAAAGATCTTTTGTATGCTAAACTGACATCTTTTTGTTCCAAGTCTCTCATAATAGCCTATTTGACCGATCATCTCCAACATCGTTTCGGCTTCACAATCGCTGGGGTAGTAGTTGGTACTATAGGCTACATAATCCTCCTCTGCCAATCGCATGTGCCAACTGGTGCTAAATATATGGCCTGCTTCTTCATTACTACCGGTGGTTATATGACACAGCCAGTTACTTGGGCTTGGGTCGCTAATGTATGTTTACTCTCGATCTTCAATCCTCCCATTTTTCTTTCCTCCCCCTTCCTTTCCATTTCATTCTCTATCCCACAACCCGCAATAACACCTACTAAAACCCTAAAACAGAACATGGCAGGCCACTACAAACGCTCTATCTCCACGGCCCTCCAAATAGGCATCGGCAATATTGGTGGCATCATCGCATCCAACATTTTTATAACAAATCAAGCGCCGCGCTATCCAGTGGGATACGGTGTTTCTTTGGGTATGCTTTTTATGTGTGGAATAATGTGTACGATTTTCTTCTTGGGATTGAAGAGGGAAAATGGGATAAGAGATAGAGGGGGGAGGGACTATAGGTTTAGAGAAGACGAGGAGAGGAGGAGGAGGAATAGAGAGAGAGAGGCGGAGGGCAATGAGGAGAAGGAGGAGGAAGGAAACTGGGGCGATGATTGGCCGGGATTTAGATTTGTTTTGTAGCCTTTGTAGCATGGAATGCAGATTTTTGAGGAGAGAAGTAAATGTGTGTGCTATTTGAGAAAAAGACTACTGTAAGAGTTATTTTGATCAAGCAAGTGGAAGGAAATAATCCTCGCAAGCACCAAAGAGATGTACATAATCACAACTTCATCAAACTTTCACAAACACAATCAAAAACTTGTAACTCAAAAATAATCTTTCATCTCGCACATATTCTCACCCATAGAATATTAATTTTCATTCTCCTTTATTCATCAACTCGGGGGAAAAAAACCTTCATCAACATTCACACCTACACACCAAATTGAACTAGCTCCCCCGAAGCGAAAGTGGGACCCTCTCGGAATTTTCTCCGATTGATGGATGCTCGAAGCGACTCCTGAATTGAACTCCTGAATAAATGAATGAATGTACATGAACTATTATTACAGTATGTAGATCTAATTTTTGGGAACAATTGTTTTAGGAATAATTGTAAAGAAATGTATTTTTGTGTGCTGGGTGGAATGGGCTGGAATGTGCTGGGATCTGCTGGAGTTTATGTGCTTTTGTTGATGCTGTGTGTTTGTTTCACCCCAAGCAAACTTTTTTGGGCCTAACTAGCATATTACCTTACGTAAAGTAAAACCCTAGTTAGGCCCAAAATGCGTAAGGTAATGTAATAGAAAAAAACAATTCGCTAAAAAGAAACTATATATAATTAAAGATAAAGCATATCTATTATATTATTCTTGGATTTCTTAATGTTTTTTTCTATTGAGTTTTCGTTTATAAAATCAAAATTAATAAATATCGAGTATATTTGAGATTATCTATTATTATTAAAGATAATCTCAGATATTAAGCGATTATTTCAATAAGAATCGATGTGACGAAACAGACGGCTCTCTTCCGCCCACTGGCTCATACTATATATGTAGCATGATACGATGGCTCTCTTGGACCTTCCTTTCTATAGCTCTAGACCTAGGCATCGTACCATGCTTATCTCTAGGACTCTTTCACTCTTTTGGGTCTAGCCTTTATGGCTCCCAATACCTGTATATATAGTCCTCCTTTTAGCACCCTACATAGCTCTTCACTTGTAGATTCTAAGTACACAATCGGAGTCCTGTTTATACCCTTTTGGTCACATGTTATCTGTTTTGAAATAATTATTTAGTTTATAGCGATTGATTCTTTTATTTATAAATAGAGATAGTTTTACTTTATAACTTGGAACTTTTTCTCAGATTCCTTATCTTTTA